AAGGAATCCACACTCCATCTGGTCCTGCGTCTTCGCGGAGGAATGCAGATCTTCGTAAAGACTCTCACGGGCAAAACCATCACCCTCGAAGTCGAAGCTTCCGACACCATAGAAAACGTGAAGGCCAAAATCCAGGACAAAGAGGGAATTCCTCCGGATCAGCAGCGTTTAATCTTCGCTGGCAAACAGCTGGAAGACGGCAGAACTCTTTCCGACTATAATATCCAAAAGGAATCTACGCTCCACTTAGTTTTGCGACTTCGCGGAGGCGCGCTCTTGTGAACGGGAAATCTGCAGAAAAGTCTGTTAGTCGCAAATTGAATAGCATTGGTAGTATTGAAATAGCATTCGTCACTTTTTGTTTTTTAAATTCATGCTTCAAATCCGTATACCCGCGTATACTTGATATTCAAAAGTATTATTTCCGTCAATTTGCGTACAACAAGAATGTGGGAAATTGTATCCCAGATATATGTAAAGGGACACGTTCTTGAGTAATAAAGATGTGATAATGATATCCCTTGACTGATGTTCCTGTGAACTTCACAACCCAATCAGAGATTTCCTTTAGGATTTATTAAATAACTTTGCAGACACAGTATCCATATATAGCCTATGATATTCTCATTAATATCAATAAAGTAATATGCTGAGATGCATTGTAAAGTAAACAATCTATTTCATGTAGCTCCATTGATTTCGGTGCCTAATTGGTAGTTGATTAGGAACAAACTATATCTTGAATGTTTGATATCGTAATCATTTTTAGTAATAATTTAAGTACTCGTCCCAGTAATATATAAATACACGTAAACATATTTTTCAGCGTTTCAAGCAACAGGGAAGGAAGAAAGGAGAGACGTTCTCGCCCAAAATATTTATTAATACACGCGACATAATAAAAACACGTTTGATAAAAGATCGCATCTCGATTCACGCTCAATATACGAATGTACGATTATATACATGGCGACGACGTATTAATTACTAACACAGCTGTGTATTCAGTCTGACACAAATGGTATGCGTATATGAATAGCGATACAGAAATCAAGATTTCATAGTCGTGTCGTGAAATAATTTCTGCGCTAATCATACTGACAATCTCGAAACAAGCACACAAGTTCCGTGGTGCGACTTCCATTGCTGTGCACTTCTGTGCTGGTCTTTCTTACCGGTTTCATATAATAAATATTCTTATACAGGTCCTGTAATAATGATTATTAGTACGCACGAGATCTTGCATATAAAATCAGCAATCTGAAGGATTATATATGCGTCACTCACCTATAAAGCTTAATAATACTGGTAAGAATATTAGACCGTGTGCCGCTCCGAAAAGAACGATTCCCAAATACATTCTGAAATAAAAAACCCGGAAAATCTGCGACTTCGCGAACGCCAGCACCACAATTCCTACAAATTTGGTCAAAGTAATCCCGGAGAATACCTAGGAAATATCGAGAACATAAATATTTGTGCAATAATAATTAAAATAAATTAATATATGTATGTATAAATATATATAAGTTTAATATTTTACTTGTACAAGAAAATTAAGGTTCTTTCAAGATGTTTAAACCAAGAAATTGCTTATGCGTTGCGACACTTAATTGGACTTACAGAACTTCCCATAACGGAAAGGGCTTCCGATGCTTTACCGATCCTCGTCATCGCTGCAGAAGTGATGTAGGAGTGCACTATATGGCTGCAGAATTCCACGGAGATTCCAGCCGCCTATGAAAATTCACACTTTAGCGCACAATAATAGCATAACAAGTTCACGACATAATAATTTAACGACGAATGTTTAAAGTAACAATAATTAGTGATTTTATATACACATACGATAGTAAATAAAATTTTGTACCGTAATTAACTATTAAATTAATAATTATTACTTATAATCAATATTGTTTCATTGGACATAATGAGAAAAGAAATGGATAAATATTAATAATTTACCACGAACCATGACTAAATTTACGAGAGAAACTGCGTTCAAACTAATGTTCCACCAGTACATTAGGCCCGCTAAATTGATTATTATCATCAAAACGGTAAGGACGACTATCGCCGCAGAGAACAATGACAATCCTGTGAGAAATAGCGTTACTACGAAAATCACGGCAAGAGATAAACTTATCGACGACAAAGTTTCCTCCCAGATGGTTAAATATTGCTCATAAAAGACGTAGAACACACTGAAACATGCAAATTTATTCAATAGTTAAAAGTACATAACAGCAAAAAAGAATAAAAATAAAAATAGCAGTTTATTCCGCGAGCTATTTTTTAAGATTAGACATTTAATTGCTTAAAAATATATGAAATTTTTTAATTCGCGATAAAATCTTATCGCTTACCTATATGGAAACACTTGGACTGTTTGATTGGACACCTTGGCATCGTTGATCATATTTGTAATATTTTCCGATATTATTCTGGCGGCTCGCAGCGCCTCGTACCAATCGGCTGATTTCTTTAAGGGCGTATGGTAACCCATGAAATACGAATCGTTCACATCGGTGAGACCGAATTCGTCATAGTAATAGTTTATCGCCTACACGAACAAGAAATTTCAGATTTTATTATTAAAAAAAGTATAACCTTCAACTTTAATGTTTGCTTAAATTTCGGCGCATGTTGAAAATTGAAAAGAAATTCTTTTCTGCAGCGCGATAAACATTTGCAATTTAGCAGCTTGTCAAAATGCTAAGCGAAAGTTTCTAACGACGTTAACTCACGTCGAAATAAGAGGCTCTGCCAGCTTTGGCGCACTTTTCATCTGGAACGTCGCTTACGAAGTAAGGGATATACTTCCTGAAACTCGTCTCATCCGGACGAGAGCTATTCTGATCGATGATAATTTTACATGGCTTGCATGCTGTAAATTATTGTATTGTTAAATTAAACGTACTGAGTAAATAAGAAAATTGCGTACAAGCTTAAGTATATCTCTAAAAAACTGGTATTATTATCACAAATATGTAGGTGTATAAGTCAATTATAATGTTATATGATGCTGATACATACGATTAGTGTGTGGACAAAAGGAGTCGTTGTTCGCGTAATATTTGCAGCAGGCACTAATCGTCGACCAATCAAAGTAATCATCTATCCATGATGAGGCTGCTTTAGACAAGTAGGACCTGTAAATATTAATAGATAAAATTCTTGGGACATTTTCAAGTAACTTTCCGCTTGGTGCGGCTACAAAGATTTCCGGGAAAAGCTTGCAAGCGACAAATTGATCAGCAGTGACGTATAAGAGCATGAAATTAACATAATGAAACACAAATTGACACTTTGTGTTAAAACGAAGTAGAAAAAAAATATCTTAGTCACATTCCCTTAATTTTATTTATCTCGTTTGCATATTTTTCCGAGATTCCAAAAATTGTGAGATACAAACACGGAGGATTGTTTGGCAGCCGAATATATCTGCGTGTACAAGGAATCCGCATTGCATCCTTGACCGCCGCATATGATGTTCTGTACCTCCCTCTTGCTGTAATTCAGACCTTCCGTCAATACGAAATACACGGGTGGGCCCATCGACAAAAGATCTTCCATGTACTAAAAATATAACATTCGTTAAAACTATATAATGCAAAAGAACGTGTATAATATTCTGTATACAGGGTGTATATAATATTCTAAAAATAATATAAAATATTTATTTTGCCTTCCTTTTAATAAGAGATAAGAGATTTTTTACTTCGACTTTTTAAGCATAAACGATTGAGCGCGCGTTAAATTGTTACAATTATGGTAAGATGACTTTCATTGTTCGCTTCAGTCTTTCTATGTTCTTTACCTGAAAGTATTTGAGAACGTAAGAATCTTCGGGCATAGAGAGCTTCTGGTCCAGTCCAACCTCGATCTGCGGTAACACTATGATATGAGTAGCGAGAACGGCGACGAAGATCGCTATAACGACAATTCTGACCGGCGTCTTCATCAGAAACGGCGTGTAGGTACGCTCGAAAGCTGCATGAACGACACCGTCGCGTTCCTCTTCATTCGAGTTATCCTTGACGGAAACGCAGCAGATAACATCCAGGCGATTATTCTAAAAAATATCGGACGTTTGTTTTAAAAATTGACGCAAGTTAAACTTTGAGAATTTCGTTGAGATGTTAATTGTCAGTTGGGACAATGAAAACTCTTATAATAAAATGAATATCACTAAGATAATATCTGAATTTGCATTATATTATATTAATTGCTGAACATTTCCTTTACATGAAATAGCACAATTTTTATTAAAAATTTGTACGATTTACCTCCGCTCTCCGGGAATCAAGGGCTAATAAAGCGACGAAGGCTGTTATTTGAAGGAAGAAGTTAATTAAAATCGATACCGAGGCGTACATCGCGAAGGTGTTGACCGCTGGCATCGCAGAAAACGCTCCTGAAATTTTTATTTTTCACATTATAATTACAAACACAGATCGTAAAGACCGCTCTCTTTACTTAATTTTGTAAAAATAATTTGTGTGATATTTTTACGTACCGATCAAGAAGCAGAAACATTCGGATGTGCTGGTAAGCAGCATCGAAGGTCCGACTGCAGCCATAATCCTACCGATGTGTTCGGGAATTGTCTCGTCGATGTGCCGAGGATTTCTCTGATGATGTTGCACCAAAATAAAAATATTGTCCACTCCAACAGCCAGTACTAAGAAAGGAATTACCTGAATAAGAATTTACAACGTTAAAGTGTTGCTTTCGTGTAAATATAAACGCTTAAATATTTAAATTATATACATATGTATAAGTATTCGAATGATATAATACCTCGATTGTGAGCAGAGTGGTTGGCACACCAACAAAACCGAAAATACCGAGAGAACAAGCGACCGACGCTATGACTATAATGATTCCACCAACGCTTAATACGATTCTGCTTTCGGTCTAAACGGAGAAATTATAATTGAAGTGTTTTGCGTCATATATTTGTATCCTACAATTTCGTGATTTTGATTATGACGGTAAAAACTTACGAAACAGCCAACAACAGAAGCCTTGATTTTGCCGAGAGCAAGGGCAACGTAAACAAACATGAGAAGATAACTAATAACCACCGTTATCACTTCCGCTTTCGACGTCCTATCTAATTCATCTTGTATCGATCTTTCGGTAGACCAAGCGACGTCCATGTTGGCCGATCGACCATCATGGTTCCATTTTTCCATAAAATCGAGGAAGCTAAAATTCACAATAATCGCGCGATTTGATTTAAATCTGATGTAAGTCTAATTTACGATACATTGATAATTATTTTCGGCGAGTTTTTTCTCTTAATTTTTACATACCGTTGTTCCCACTTGTTGATCGGCACAAGGTCCGTCTCATTGAGAGAATTTTTCACGAGAAACGTCAAGACCAACCCGGTTGCTTTAATGTAATCGGAGGAATCATATTCAAACGTCCCTTCTTTTAAAAAACCTCCGATTGCGATGGCAGGGAAAATGGGACCCTTGTACGGTGCCAGGCATTGAGGATGGAAAGGATTCCTGGAAGGCAATTTGTATTCAGAATTAAATTAAATAAAATTTTCTACACCATCTTTCAAATTAGGCAAAACATATGCTTTGGAAGAAAACTCCAATAACTTGTGTGACATAAATTTGCTCTTCACTTTTTTTCTTTGCTTGCTTAGCTTGTTCAAGGCTGTTTAACTTAACTTTGTTAAAAAAAATAACTTACCCACCCAACCCTGGTATTATTACATAACTTTTTTCATTAGGCAAATAAACGCGAGCGTAGATTGATCATTACTTACTGCATACATTTGTACAAGTGATCCAGGTAGTCAGTTGTATATCCCTTGATAACTTCTGTTTTATTGAATGTTTCAATGTCATTCTGGAAATATCCCCATATACTTTGCACAGTGCAGAGATCAAGAGTTACCGGCCCGGTAAATTCACTTCGTACGGGAGCATAACAGATCTTTTCCAGTCCTTCGTCGGTCTCTTGGCCTATCTGTTAAAAATATTAGATTCTTATTATATCTCGCACACTGAATATTAATTGTTCTTCAATTATACTAACTTGAAGAACCTGCTGCTGCAGATCGTACACTTCTAGCAAGAACTTGCTGTTAAACACTGGGCCAAACTCCATAATTCCGAGCGATGTATTATGCTTCACCTGTTATGATGCGCAACGAAAAGATTTATTTCCAACATTGACCAATAGACATTTCTTAATATTACAAAGTATATGTATATTAGGATAAAAATATAATTTCAAGAGAAAATATTGGTCTGAACTGTTTCCAGTTTGAACGGGACATTTATACAAGAATATTAGAGCTACATTAGTTATTATCATAATTACTGCAATCAGTATATCTTACCGTTGTACGATTAACAGATTTTATGTAGATTTGCTCGGTGCGATAGAACGGCTGGAATCGATTATCATAAAAATCCTTTTCTATTCTCGACCTGCTATTCGGCGCGGCCCATATTTCTATGGGGTTTACCGTCACCGAAAGATAGGCGATTCCATGACCCAGAATAACAACGATGTACGAGGCCGTGAACAGTGTGATAATAGGATACTTGGCGAATGCTGTTGAATGTCGAGAATCGTTAACATGTTTTACGCACAGCTAAAAATTCCTTTTTTCGCACATTATATGTATATCGTACGGCAGCGAAATAATTGTTTAATGCTGTCGAAAGTAGTAATTTTCTTTTGCGAACGTAATTTTAAGTTACATCTAATTGTGCGAAGGGTATATTGTAATAAATGTTTATTAAAATATGTAATATGATCTTATTAAAAATTGTATCGTGTGTGCACGAAAATTGTTCTCCATAGATTTCCATCCAAGATGTCACACACATACGTACAACATATAAAATTGTATTTATAATGCGTCGTCTACAATGCATGGAGTAAGCCTGGAGTAAGGAGCAGGAGTAAGGAAACAAATCAACTTTATATCTTACTCCTACTTCAGCTCTTACGCTTGCTCTCGGTGTCCAAGCTTACTCCACGTATTGTAAACGATGCTTAAGCACACATAATTACCTGTTCCCCACGCAGTAAAAACCACTTCGAAGACTTTTTGATAGCTTTGACTGCAGTCTCTGGCCTTCTTTTTCGCTGGCGTTCGGATAGAACCTAGGAGCGCAGAAATCTTTAGGAAGGAAGTACTTGAACAACTTCAGATATGAAAGAGAAAAATGTTTTCAAATCCAGGATCAATTGAAGATTGATTTGCCTGGCGTAACTTTGTCCATACCTTTCTTACGGTTTCTGCACAAAGTATACGTGCCACCGGCTACAATTGTGATTAAAATGACGAGTATAGCCGCTACGACGCCGTAGCCATTAAGATCGCCGATCATGAACATATCGTCGACGACGTTTAACTTCGTAACGGGACACGCAATGGGACAGTCGACGCAGCTGCAGACCGTGGACGAGTTCTGGCGAAGCCAAAAATAGAAACAGCGTCTTTATTTAATGTGCTAAACTTGAAACGAATAAATAAACTTCGTAGTTCCTTTTACGCGAGAGACCAGGTTGATTTCTCTCACACTTACGCCGTAAGTCTCGTTGCAATTTTTCGCTGTAGCATTCCACGGCTCATCGCCCCATTTGTCAGCTGCGTCGTAAACGTATGTCATCTGGAAGGGCGTGAAAGGGTTCGACTTGTGATCGCCCATGAACTCGTACCACCTTTAAGAATTATACGCCATATGTATCGCCTGTGGTTCCGTTTCATTTGACTGGCTCCCTACGATCGTATGGAGTTCACTTACAGTTTTGGGGTGCACCTGCTGGCTCCGTGCGAGCCACAGGCCAGATCCATGGCCAAATTTCCGCTAGTAGGATTGACGATGCTTCTGCAGGATTCGTACGTGTCGTTTATGAACTTTTCCGTGATATGAATCTAAAATACGGTCAGCGACATTAAACATTTTCCATATAACAAATTGATTTAAATGTAACTACTTAAATTATTGGCTGTTTCATTTAACATATTAATTTATTATTCGTTAATATCGTCAGCATCGTTAATTATATTTATTATCTGTAGGTATATTTATCAGTATTAATTTCGCTACTACGCTACTTTATCATTTGGCCTCTAAGAACTCGAGAGTACAGTTGCTTATCTGCCGTTTCTCTTCACATTTCTTACGCGCGATTCTGTTCATTTTTTAATGTAAAAAAATTTGAGCAAGAACCAAAATGCACTCTTGGGAATCACCTCAGATTCGACGACGTACTCCATGCCATTTTCTTCGGAGCTGTTGGTCACCCTCACGAATCGACTCTGCTCGGGACTGCAAGTCGTGTCGCAGATCAGTCGATACATGTTCTTTACGCAGGTCGGACACCTGCCGAAAACGTTCTCCGCCAGATTCATGCTCGAGTCCATCGTGACGATCTGAGCGGCGTCGCAGCATGTTATCGGCGACTCTGCAGGACGCGAGACACGTTCCAGTTACCCTTACCGATCACGCGATCGGAAACGATCTCCGCAGAAAATATATTCCCAGATAGCACAAGACACTCCTATGAACATTTTAGGAATATTCTTCACGAATATTTGAAATATTCCATAGGTCATTCTTATATATTTATCTTATGTTCGTTGAATATCCGACTGGCACTACTATAAATGGTTTTCAAATGTGAATAGAATAATCTATCGAATATAGCGTGTCGGTTATACACGGTATGATCCGACAAACAGTTATCGAGATATCATAAGCTAAGCATTGAAAAAGTTGAAATTTTCTCTTGAATATCTCGAAAAGTGTTAGGCAAATCGAAAAATCTTTCGGACAAAAGTTGTTCATATTAATTAGTAGAACAAGATAGTATAATAAACAATAGGGGGTTCCATTTAAAAAATCGAAGGTGACCTTGACGTGATCTTCAAGCAACCGTCTTATGTCCCCCTTCGTACCAAACAACTTTTGTCGGAAACGTTTTTTTCTGCGATCAAAAATAAAAAGTTATTTGAGGTGGGACATTAAATTGGGACACGCTGTATATTTATAGAATATTCGATTGGAATATTCTGAAATTGAGAACGTTTGCACTCCAAAAGAATATTTATAGAACTGTGCGTGCTATCTGGGTTTCAATCACATACAAACCTGTTTCGTCCTCGAAGAAGTGCGGACACCTCTTCCGCAGAAGGGCCTCGGAAGTCGCGTTGTTGACCGGCCGGGCGACGACATTTTTCGCCACGCAGGTCCGCGGCGAGAGGGTCCCCCATCCGCACTCACCGTACCACGCACAATACCGTTCATCCGCCGAGATCAGGGCGCAACACAGCGCGAGGAGAATACAACCGAGCGCTCGCGGCCGCGTCATAATGCCGGTATATTCGGGAGATCAGCTACTGATCGAGAGATTCACGCCGAAAGGGACGTCCCGAAATCGCCCGATTCCGTATCGCGATTGACGAGAATTGGACTCGCAGCTTCAAGACGCTGCTATTATCGCAAGCGAGACAAGATCAATGTGATAAATACCACCCTTCGGCGGTGCGTATCCTCATCTCCGCACCGGCACAATGGATATCTTCCCGCGCGTTAGATGCTCGATCGTACATTATCTCTTTTAGCGTTATAGACAATCGACGGTATTCACCGTAAATCCTTTCCGTGTAGCTTTGCAACGGTGACTGTAAACCGAAGTAGCTTCGTCGCAGATTGTTCCTTCTTTCTCGCCTCGCTCGTCCCCGACTGTCGGATACATTCGCGGGATGTTTAGGTGTCCATTGGCATTATTCCCTTTTCCAAATCGAATGAACAACTGTCTCGAATGATCGGTGTCACCTCGTCATATCAAATCGTACTTATCGAGCCACCTGATGTCTCCGGCTTATCAAGCAGATGAGAACTTCAAATCACCTTATCAACGGAAAGTCTTTTCAGGCTTCAGGATCGAATTAGATGAAATGAGTATCGGGAAAAGTCCATCGTGATAACGCGTCATTCTCTTCTCCCGTTTTATCTTAGAAATAAATAGAATTGGAATTATAACAGTACCCAGTCAGAAATTACTCACCGATCGACGTCGATCGAAGAGTTATTTCTGGCTGGGTAATAAACTGTCATCGTGGCAGCATCTAGTCTTTCGCCTTTATTCTCAGTCAAAATGACGCCTCACGCACGTGCGAATTTTCAAATATTCTCTCTGCTTGATAAAGTCTTGGAATGAATTAAAAGTAAGGAAGGTGTTCATTCATGTATTTAAGCGAACTTGACTATTATATATAGTCGACTATTATATAGTTCATCTACCTGCGATAATTTATCGTTCCGCGACTCGATCAGGGATTGTCGGACACCTGTGAATTATCGATATCTTGTACATACCTTATGAAACAATGCGATAAAGCTTCTTGTATTTATATCGCACGCGTGGCGCGGCGTTTCTTTTGACGGTCGTCAATACAGACGCGTGGTCTTTGATATTTCTTTTATCTTGATATATTTTTATCTTTATTCTTATATTCGTAATTTTTTAAGATATTGCTCAATATTTACGTCGACAACTCGACTCTGAACGTTTGAATTGTTTAAAAGCATAACGCGCGCGATGAAAACGGCAGCTCGACGTAGCAAAATGAATCATGTTATCCACCAATATTTCTCAGTCGACCGTTTCGTATTGTTCCCAAACATTTATTCTAAATGTCAAATAAATAAAATTCCAATCGAGTGATTATACTGGGAATTAATTATGGATATAATCAACGTGATAATTCTATGCGATATGATAGCAAATTTCGAAGTAGGATTAATTTCGCAGTGCTTATCGTCGGCGGGGCGGGGAATAAAGGCGGCCGGGTTTCCATAATGAATAATCATATTTTAATGACTCAATGATTGTACAAATGGATCACTCTTAAACGTCTCCGCATACAACCGAGGAACAATAACAACGAATATAGCAATCATCGTAATCATAATATATCCCCATGCTAACGTACCGTTCACGTAACGAGTTGAGAAAACATAAAGGGTTCTTTTTATACTCTCTTTCTCTCTTGCACGTACCATATATATTCCCGCTCGCATACGCTCGCAACATTTAATCTCATCCTTGGTTCTCGCCACCCGCCCCGCTCGCTTTACGTTCAACGCAAGGAAGAGACTCGTCCCCGTATATATCTCCGTCCTTTTCGCGTTTCCTACGGAAAGACTCATTACATCGTTACACACTATCTCATCTTCGTTTCGTTATCACCCGCCCCCGTCCTTTTCTTCAACCCCTAACGTCTCCTCCTCTCCCTCTCTCTCTCTCTTCTTTTTCTCTTATATATCCTATATATTTATATATATAATAATCCTACCAACTCATTCCTCTCTCAGACCCCTCTCTCACCTTTTATTCTCCCTTTATTTTTTTTCTCTCGTTTTCTTTCTCTCAATATAGTATTCTCAGTGTCCCCAATAAATACCCAAGGTATCGCCCTAATCGTATATACCCCCAAATATTACTATGTTCAACGGTAGCGATAAAGTTTATATATATATCTATCAATAAAATTTCTGGAAGAATGTCAATAATCATACAATAGACGATCAATCGTTCGACGATCCACTGCGTACCCGGTTGGGGGGGGGGGGGGCGAAAAATATGAAACTCGGTACTAGGCCAACTATTGGGATACGTCTCCGAGCTGGAGTGTCTCGACCCTGTTCGATTTTTGTTCTCTCCTGACTTGTCGCCGAGGAAAGTGCGCAAACGTGGGGTTGGGTCCGTCGGCAATCGCGGGCAATCCGGCTGGTGACTCTCGTTCGACCCTCCTCGCAAACTATTTTTATTGAATACCCAACGGATACTGGGCGTAAATATCTGGCGTCGATTTATGCGAAAGGATCTATTTTTTTTAACGGTCATTTAATCACTCGCCTGCTTTCTGCGGGATATATTATTACGTCTTCTTTTTACTGCTGATTGGGAAGAAAGATTTATAAAAGATTAAGCGTCAGCGGACTATAGCATCGCCTTTCGCGCTTCTTTTCTTTTTCCTATCTTAATATTCGCACACGGAGCTTCGGCGAATGTAACGTGCGTGACAAAATGATTCTTGGAGATAATAGATCAAAAAAAGAACGTACATTTGCGCGTGTTCTTAGAAACGACTGTATTGAATGAACCTTAACCTTTGATAATATCATGTTTTTAAACTCTTCATAAGATTTCTTAAGTGAGAAGATAAGGATAAAAATGCGAGGCACTATCTTAAGCCCGATTAACTCCGGCTAGAAGACACCTGGCCGCGATAAGGTGGCGGCGGCGAGGCGCTTTTCAACGTCACCTATACGTGCGTGATAGAAGAGAGCGTATCCGCACTTCGAATGCACAATCGTGCTTTCTACATTGTTTACACAGCTGCGGGCTGGACTTAACATTTATCAGAGATAATGCCCGCGTTGGGATAAGGATAAACAGACTTTCGCATTTATCGCAGGCCATCTATGGACATTCGAGATTGTCCTCCACGAGGCTCGAATGGAACATAATTTTCGGGAGTCGTCAACTATGGGAAACGCTACCTTTTCGATGTATCTCGCGACAGTAACTTAAATACAATCGCTGTTATCCGCGAGCGCGGCTCCTCGGTGTGCCACGCACTTTCCTCGGCCTCTTTCTCTCGAATGTCCTCGTAGATCCTCCGACAGGGAGGGACACGGGGGTCGAGGAGAAAAAGAAACATCGACTCTCGCTCGGAGGCGCCCCTCTCTCGACAGAATTTATACAATAAAATTTATATATAGTAGACAATGCAATAATTCGAGCAACAGAAGGTCCTCCGTAAGTTTTTTTTTCCCTTAAATCTGCACGTGTGTTCTCGCCTATAGTAATTAGTAAGTAGGTATCTTATTATTTTTTTTTCGCTGTCAGATCTTAACCGATGCCTTATTAGATATATTTGTGTGTGACTGTTTCGTGTACGTGTCTCGCGCGATCGCACGTGAATTGTGTCCACGTGTGCCCGTTTACGTGATGGGTATCTGTTCGTATCTCCCGTTTCCTGCCATCCTCTTTATTGCCACAACGAGCTTCCGAGCGATTGAAATTAATCTAGAAAAGGTTGAATTCTAAAATCGCTAAAACTACGCGTCTCAATTTTTCCTCGCAATTAAATTCTACAAAACACACTTCTGGCGTTAAATCAGGAGAATTCATTCCGAAGTAAAATGATTTTAACTCGCGTCATTATTTTAGACAGCAATTTCCTAGCAACTCGTCTGTCCGAGCAAAAATTAACAATGGCTTTATAATCCGAAAAAGTTACGATTAACGAACTCGTTCCGCTTATCGTAATTAATCGTTCAGGAAAGTCAAACTGTAAAATCGCAGCGCTGAGTCACTGAAGTCATTCGAGATAATGTTATCTTTCTTTCAATGCGTTAAGTTTTTACGTAAATTCCCATTTATTTATGTCGATACGTTAGCGTGCTTCTGTAGTAACTCTTGAATTTCTATTTTTACGTGCGCCTTTGGTGTTGGGCACAACTCTTTAGTCAGCGATTAAAGACCAGCAGGTACTAATTGTCAAAGTTATACGACTGCTAATCGCGATAAGTCCCCATTGAGACCTCACCTTTAGACGAACTCCCGCGCTTGAACACTATTATGAGTCAGTCTGATATTAATCCTACTAATTATTGCTATACGACAATTTTGGCACCACGTTCGTCACTTTTCCAACACATATTCTCCGATGAACAAAGGAAAGAAGATTCCGACGTGTTTTTCCCCCCCGAGGAACGGCGTGTCTCGCCGCAGCAATTTCTTCGCTGACATAAATTCCACGTTCTCGAGTGTCGCGATTTTACAGTTCAATTCTCGCTGACAATTCTGTCTTTCGGTAGATTACTTTCGCGCAGAATGGCAGGATCCGTGCATAATGGCATACTCGACTTCGAGCGGAAGAAAAAAGAAAGAGCCCCTGTCATTCTTGTCGCGAGTGCTTCGAGATAAACCTCGGCGAACGCCCGATCGATTTTTCAGCATAAAAGAATTTGCAGGATGTAATTGATTCCCACGTTCTCGACTGCCTGTCCCTCTTTCCTGAAAATAATAGCTCCGGTCTTTTGTGCTTCATTGACGACTTTAAAATAATTTGCGAGATATGACCGAAGTATATGGCACAAAATGTGCGATCGTTGAAATTCAATTATTTCTATTAAGAAATTAATGTCGCTGACATAATGAAAATGAGCGCAACATGTGATGCGAAAGAATACGATACTCTTAATAGACCCAACAATTGTAATGTGAAGCGCGAAAAGCAGCACACAATTTTTATAAAGTCATCACGAACGTAGGAGACGACTGGCAGCCAAGCTGACGAATTTTACCACTTGACGCAATTTCGTGAAAGCACGCACGTGTCGCAGAGGTATCCGCGGTGATTCGTAAAATCGTAAGAAATCTCTGTTGTAACACGCACATCAGCATGCATGGTAACGCGCCCGAGATGGAAGCAATATTACAGCGTTCGATAAAACATTCATCAGACATTACGGATAAAATTCCCGCGGTTCGCCACGAAGGATAAAGGAAAGGATCAAACGCGTCACCGCCGTTCCCGCCTTCGTCAGCCTATGCACACTGTACAATAGTATCCCGGCCGGTATAATTAGTACTCGTATAATTACACTCCTCGGAAATATACTAATAATTGACGCGATTTCGCGAATACGTATTAATACGACATTTTGTTTCTCTCTCGTATCGACGCGATCGTCTTTTCCGAAAGGCGTCAATGTGGAAACATTCGTCACGTCATTGAATCCCGGCGATTTCGATCGAGCGGTTTCACAAATTTTTAGAACGAAGTCTCTTGCTTTTTCTCCCAGATGTTGCGCGCAACATTGACGACTCGATCCCTTTCGTTTGTCTGTCATAAACTTATATGTAATATAACGTTGTATAATATTTTACTATTATAACGCTGTGCAATATATCGTAATATTACAATATTATAATATCAAAATATTATTTAATAATATTTATATAATAGTATGCTTCACTTCAAACACAAAGACAGCCCGTTGAAGCGCGTTCGGATCGCGGACCGTCACGGGCGACGGTGTGTTGAATATGTGCGTATGCGTGTCAGTACTCGATATGACTATATCAAATTCCATTGATTGGCAATTGAGTCCTTCGTCCACGACCAGCAAACGATCGTCGATTCCCGAGCCCAAGGACGTTAACGATCTCTAAACGATAATTCCGTATACACCTCCGATTGATCTCCGTTACAATATATCGCTGCGGAAAGTCTCTCGATAATGATCGTAAGCGATACCGGTGCGATCGGTGCCGGCCGATATCGATACAGAGGCTTGAATTTTAACGTCGTACTCTCTAAAATTTTTGGAGTGAAATTTTCACTCGAATCATGGTGTCACTGACCACCTCGCTCTATTCGAGTGAATTAATTCACTCTAAGACAAAAAGTGAAAAATTTCACTCCTATTTTTTAAGTAAAGTCGCCAGCACTCCAATATTCACTCCAACTTAAAGTTATTTACGGTATTCCACCACTGGATGGCCGTCGAACTCGTAAGATCACGATAGCCCGGCAAGTAAGGGACCCAGTCATCATCGGGCCGGGACGGTTCTTTCGTGACAATCAGCAGAATAAGCGAAACTGTCACAAATCTCACTCCAAAAGAGTGAGATTCCACTCCAACAAATTTAGAGAGTACCAACGTCAAGTAGACGTTGAGGAAGATCTAAGCTCATAATATGTGATTCCGAGTCCGCTAACCGGTTTACAGTGATCAGTGCTAATTTCGCAGCTGCGGAACCATAGATAAAGGAACGATACCAGAATCGAAGACTCTCGACCGAAGGATCGCGATCGCCGCGAATTCGTAAACGTCTCCCTTCACGTCCGATAAGGCTGATCGATCACGTCGTTGTGCGCAACATCCACATTCCTCGAGTATGCACACAGGTTGCGCGCGTGGTGATGAGAGGTGGCGGAAGAATATTCTCGGAATGTTCTTCGGAATCTCTCGGTGAACCTTCGAACGCTCTCCCGTCCTCTGGGAAATATTCCCCGAAGGTTCCCAGGGGGTCTCTTGGGAGGTTCTTGGGGAATAGTGCCGGCATGTTTTGAGACACTCGCGAAAAACATTCGGAGAATAAACCCCACGGTGCGTTTCAAGAAGATATCCTCTCTTTGGAGAACACCCCCAGCTCTCACCACCAATTATGCTCGAAGCGTTTGCATGCCGTGTGTGAAAGTGTGTATGTGTATGTATGTGTAAGTGTGTGTGTGTGTATATATATATTTTTATTTATACATATTTTTCTGGTTGTAGGTATACGTCTATGTGGATACTTTCTGTCGTCTAATTTACACGTATTAATCCTTCGATACCATTCTTAATTTATCGTAATACCCATTAACAACGCGGTATATGTGTCGGATTATCGTGAAAGGTTCCAGTGCCAATACCACTCGCCGTCCCTAAAATTCAATGTGTACGTTTTAAAGTACGAGTGTGCGCCTTTTCTCGCTTTCTCTCCCCCTCTTTCTTTTTCTCCCTCCCTCTCTCTCTCTCTCTCTCTCTCTCTCTCTCATTCATTCTCCTTGCATACTAATCACGGGCCATTAACGCATCGTCGTTACACCGGCGCATCTCACTTCGTAGCTTCGGTCTCGAGCACTCTGATTATCATTCTCTCTTTCTTTCTCGCTATATTTCTCTCCCTCTCTCTCTCTCTCTCATTTTTCTCCCTTTTTCACTCATGCACACACGTAGACTCTTTCACTCGCTCTCTTTTGTATCTTAAGTAACGTTAAAAATAAAGTCTGCTATATTGGCGAGGATGCTCGACCCTGAAAACAGGTTAACACGCGGCGGAACGTTTTTTTTTATTTCTTTTTTGGGGGAGGGGACCGTGGACGACGTTACAATGCAATTCACAAATCTACCCTTTCTCTCGCTTTCTCTCTTTCTTTCTTTCTCACATAATATTTCGTATATATTATATAGTATGTATACATATATTTTCTGTGTGCGTGTATATACATGTATATATATACACACACACGACATATCTTAATTGATTTCTCTTTAACAACTAAGACTTACTCGCTACGCGCGCGAATCGCACCTTCGATCTCTTGTTTCTTCTTCCCCCCTTTTTTTTAAACGTGGATCTTATAAGCCTCTCTCCGACTACCCTTACGGTCCTCACGTCACCCGGCGATCGTCAATGGCGTGACGCGCATCACGACGGTTTCATATAATAATAAAAAAATGGGAGGATGTGGGGAACGTGGGGTGTGGAACGACGGGGAGCGACGTGACGGGCGCGCCCACGCGCGAGCGCTCGATCGCGATCGTGGTAACGGCGTAATCATAGTGACGTGGTATGTGACGACAAATATCATTATTACATTATTTACAGAGTCGATTATCTCCCCGGGCCATCCGCGCCGCCGTCCACGCGGAAAATGGGATCGACAGGATCGAGGGACGGAGCCCTCGATCACCGGCGACTCTCGAAAAGACAACCGAATCTCGTAAAGCTGGCGACACGCTGAAACTTTATGCCGGCGGATGCTGTTAAATCGGAAATACGTATTCGAGAAGCGACGGCTTGACCCATCGTTCCTAGATCTCTCAGGCACGTTGCTCTAACAGTCTCGACTGTTTAATCTCGCCTTAGAGTTTCTTCCTTTTCTGCGTGTACTTATACGTACAGGATCTTGCAATATGGAAAGCGCTTTATTTTATATATTTATAAATTATCGGCCAGCATAAAAAAATTATCATCCTTTTATGTTTAAATAAATAAATTTTTGCGAGTATAAAACTGGATACCAAAACTTTATGCTTGATTTAACTTGAAACGCACACAAAGACTTCCCCTAAAGATATTTAAAATTGAATACAGTCGCAATTTCTTACACCCGTAATAAAAAGGGAGAGCCCGAAACTAATAAGAAACAATATGTATAAAATGAAGCGTATGAAGCTAACTATTCATTAATTGTAAGCAGGATGAGCTTAAGTCTTATAATTGAGATTCTCCGTTATTTGGATCTAGTCTTTAGCTCGATCACCAAGATCGGCTATTCGTTAACGATTCGTTATTCGCCATCGGATTATTCGTTTTCAGAGCCAGCGATCTGCTCGGCATCGCCTCGACCTTCCATGGCTTCGGGATCGACCGTCCGCGTTGCGATTGTCAAAATCAAAACTATTTACCATAAGTCTTTGACATTCTTATCTTAATTTAATGACACACCCTTTAGCTTAACTTTAATATTACGTCGTTAATTTTTTTTTTACTTTTTTAACTATTTGAATATGTCGACCGCCAAGAGAAGAAGGAAGGAGGAGATACTCGGGTCCGATCAGATTCTCCAGAGCGAGGAGGAAGCCCGGTCAAGCATCTCGCTTGCTCTCGTACAAATGGTACAGTCGACTGCGTCGTACGCACGCACGCACGCACGCAAGCATATACGAATTTCCTGCTGGAAGACGAAATGAGGAAGAGAGCAAAGGGAGAAAGCGCAGTCTTCGCGAATTTCCACGTGGGCGGCAGATGCGTGCTCCTCGCGTATCGTTATCGTGATTATCGCATTAACCGGATAATTATCTCTGTATATTACGCTCGGTTGTGGTAGATGGTAGGTGATGTCGGTGGTGATGATAATGGTAGTAGTGGTGGTGGTGGTGGTGATTGTGGTGGTTGTGGTGGTGCCGGTCGCGTTTAATGGCGGTGGTAACTTAACGGTATTACCTCGTTAGCGAGTCAGCCTCGATATTATTCAACTTAAACGTGATTATTAAAGTTAGGTTGTTGAGCACAATTGTTGATTTCTATCAGAGACTTTCGGGAGGCGCTATGGCTCGAGCTCATCTCCGCGAGCTCGTGTCCGCCAGCCGACTTACCCTTGCGCGGCAACGTGGTGGCCTCCCCCAGGGAGGACGACGTCTCCCGTGGCTTCCAGATCGGCGAACCTGTTACATTTTAGAAATTAGTGCTTTTACTATGCTTTGTTTGTAAGAAAGAGAACAAAATAAATCTTATATCTGGCAAAACATATATTTGTTTTATTTGAAAAAATGACCCATTGTCACAATTAATTAACGCAAAATTTCTATTTGTCATAATATTAAAGGAAAATTAGAAAAACTGATATGACTAAAGTGTTAATTAATGTAATTATCGTAAAAGACTGAAAGAAGTTTCAATTTACTAGTTATTAGGTAAATTGGAAAAAATTAATTGTAATGAATTAGTAAAGAGTCTTGATGTACATAAGTTTCGGCAGATGCGAAAATGTCGACATTATACACTCACCAAGTTCCTTGACGGAAATAGGTTGATAGTTCTCAGGCTGATGGGAAGACTGAATCAATCTAGCTTGACTGCCAGTACTCCCCGCCGAGATGGTCGACGTGGTGCTTAGCGTCAGATGATTAGGTGTGCGGCCGAGGTTCGTCTTCTTCTCGCCTAAAAAAACCTGCGAGTCTTCCTCACCTTCCGACTTTGTACCCGAATCCATCTCGACCTTCACCTCGCCTAAAGCCCACAAGACGATACCGCGTTGAACTATTTGCTAATAACGTCTAGTCGAATCATTGAATTGCTTTGCGCTTTTACCGAATAAATTTCAACTTTTTTAAAAACTAATCTGAATAAATGCAATATTCCTTCAATTAATCAATACAAATATTTAAGGACTAAGTTTACATAGCAGAACCACTACGTATGAAGATTTTGAAATTAAGTCTTCCTTTAAGCGAGCAGAAGTTTTCATCTTACCGGAAGTGTCGCTTATGGTCTTGCTCCTGGAGCGAAATGTCTGCTGCTGGGGAACCGGCGCATCCTCCTGGTCCTTATCCTCCGAGCTCTCGTGCTCCACCGGCTGTTTCGAGTGGCTGTATTTGCGCTTGTGCGAACTGGACAGCAGCTGCTGCTTCATCGCCTTCTTCGAGAGCGTAGTGGTCACGTCTTTTCCGTTCTGCGCCTGTCCTTGACTGGCTTGTTGCTTGTTAAATTTTTCCACGTGGCCGGTCGACATTCGCGGTGCCATCGACATCGACGCATGGCTGAGATTCTGCTTCGTCGAGGGTATGTTCATGTTTCTCACCGATTCACGAATAATCTGCCGAATCGTCTTCAGGAACGCGTTACGGAACTCCGTCGTACTGTAAAGAAAAATTTAAGGCGTTAGATAAAGATCGTCTTACTTATTGAATTATTTTTATCATCGATAAAAGATTGATATTAAAAAATAAACGAATAGTCTCGATTCAAAATACACAAACGTATTATGAAACTGTATGATCATTGTCGGCGGTAAATATTTTTAGAAAAAGGAAAGTTTATACTATAAATTCTTCTTTTGTGAAAAACAATAGTGGAAATATATTGATTTGCAAAATAATGAAAATTTAATTAAGACACGGCATAACAGTTAAACGAAATATTATTTAATTTAGCTGCAATCTATTTTCAATATTTCTTGTTAATTTTTCTGTTCGATTAATAACGGTAGTAAAACTGTGCTGCGTAATTGGTTGCAATCAAGTGCACTCGCGGTGATCAATTACCACCGATACAAGTGGAAGCTACGTCACATTTCACTACGTTATATTTTCCTAATTAATTTAGTAAACTGAAATAATACATTTTTTTTAGAGAATTAATTTTGGAGCTCGTTTTTACTTATATTTATTTTAATTTAGATCCGCGCTTGTGTTCAGTAAGTATTCCACTGCGGTAGAAAATTCAGGAAAATACCTGTTGGAGAGTACGTATACTTTCTCCGGCCTCCTTTGTAATTGACTTCTTAGATGAATCAATTCCCACAAGAAGTGGGACTCCATATCCTTGGCGGAGCTGGCCCTGACCTGGACTTCTGTCACCGGGATCAGCACTTGGTAACGGATGATTTCTACCTCGCTTGAATTAGCCTTCGTCGAAACTCCCTGGAAAAAAAAGTAGATGGCCTCTTGAATATCAGAAGTTGTCGCGAGGATCGATAGAGAGAAATGGGTCATATAGACACTGACCATGAGCTTCTTTTTCTGTCTCAACCTTTCCTTGCACAGGAACACGACGGCCGATTTAAATACGAAGCACATCGCATGCAGCTCCAGACCCTTCTTTATCTTGCCGAGGAAGTCGGAAATATTGAGCCACTCGACGCCGCCGTAGTACAAAAGATCTCCTGGACTTAGGTCGATCGACTGCCAAGCAATTAATCCGTTAATTCATAATATTCTAAAGCTATTCTGTGTGCGTATAGGACGCTAAGCTTATTTAAGAATGAAAACTTATGCAAAATTACACTAAAATTTTTATAAAAGAAACATAAAAAGATGCCAAGTTTAAAATTTAACAGCAACTATTAAAAAGAGTCGAGAAAGATTTGTTTTCTTTTTAAGTTATCAAATTAAATCCTTAGAGCTTTTATAGATAAAACATTCGTTAAATATGACTGGAAATTACGTATGTCTTATTAATTTTCGAACAAATTATCATAGTGTTTCTCGTGTTTTCTTTCTGTAGCGATAAATCCGAAGATCGACTCACCTGTTTGCACGACTTTTGGTGTTGCCTAAACAGGTGATCGAAAATAGCGCCGTATTCTTCGTGGATTCTTTGCATCTCGTTTATGTGCTCCGCCACCTTTTCCATGCCTTTGAGCGCCTCTGCAATTTACACGTTCGCGATTAAATCCCTGATGACACCTTAAACTGTTCGTTACGGCCGTACAGCGTCGCGGTAATTACCGATTAAGTGTTGGTGTTCTTCGCTTCGTTCATCGGTGAGGTTCCTAAGCTGTTGCAACAGCAGCGGATACTTGAGTATTCTTTGTATAGGTTTTATCAAGTACGATTCTAAGGTCGACGAATGTTGCTGCCGAGGATTTCTCGCTTGCAGGAACTCTTGTAAAGCTTGATTTCCCTCGTCTGAAATTGTCGATTATCTCTGATAATTATCGGGAGATTGCTTCGTCCCGTCGTAATCATATAAAATGCGATTTGCAAGAAGGGAAAAAAGTCTCTCCCGTCATTAAAACCAAGATTCTGAGACATTTCTGCATAAAGATGTTGAAAATTGAACGGGCAGATGCAGCGATGTTTTAATTGGCGTGTTAAATTTTCAGAAATAACATTTCGCGGAATAATAGAAGCGTACCACAAAAAAAAATGGTCGAGCAATCTCTTTAAATGCTTAATGACGCAGCCTCTGGCGACCGCAAAAATGTCATCCACGCGCGAAAGGTTGACTCGAATAATAAATTGGAGAACTTTCCGCAAACTATACATTTATAAAGAGTAACGATACAGAATTTTGAACAGTTATTCCCGAGTGAATTATCGATTGCGAAGGATCAGGCGTGTTGATGTGGACGCGGAAGCGAAGGTCGTCACTCGCGAAAAAGAAACATTGGATATTTCAAGAGAAAACTTACTTGGATGTAAAACTTTCTGAGCCTTCGAGTGACTGGCGCAAAACGAGCTGTACAGCTTGAAGTGATTTACGTAATATAAGAAGGCACTTCCAATGGAAAACAGGACTCCCTGTTAACAGCCATAAGAAGAGATATGAGTTTAAACTTGAAAATTATAAAAATCAGCTTGATTAAACATATCATTAAATTTCCATATATTTGTGCTGTTAAAACAATGATCTACGAGGATATCGCGCTTTTTATATATTTTAAAAAATACAAGGAAGAAATTCTAAAAATGTCTAATAACTTAAATATTTTATGCAATAAGTATATAAATATTTATCTAAATTTTTAATTGGTTTAAAAATATAATAGAAAAACAGATTAAAATTTATTGGTCTGCATTTCCTGATTTATAAAATACTACTTTGCTTTTAGAGGCTTACTGTTAGCTTGGGATAAATAATCAAGCTGTGAGTTATGCAATTAGATTTCGATCACACACAATGATATGCACCTTAAATTGACTCGGATGGTCAAAGTTATTGAAATCGACCTCCATCTCGATGGCGTGATCGAGATTCTGCAGGAACTGTCGTTGAAACGTTACAATTTCCTGGATATTACCAAACAGCGCGTTGATCTCCGCGTTCGACAGGAAGGTCTCGCGTTTAAGGGGTTCCAAGTAGTTCTCCAGCAAATTATTTAAATTCTGCAAACACAAACAGGAAGAAATCCATTAGACAATCGCTGTTAATCTGCTTTTACGAATAATTATATATTATCGTAATTCAAACATTCAATTGTCATTACCTTTACGTAAGTCCGTTCAGTCTCAATCAGTTCTAAAATCACTTTCTTCAGCTTCTCAGCGTCGCTAAGCTGCCGGCTCGGTGTGAGAGCCTGCGAGTGGGAACTGACGACGCTTCCGGTGGGACTCGACTTTCTGGTCTCACCTGGAGAACGGCAGATCCCTGTCACTTGTTCGGCAGTCTTCAGGAGGTTCTCGATTTCGAAGGAATTTGTGCGCGAGGACTGCTTGTTATCCATGTGACCGGCCGACGAACATTCCTGCACAATGTTCTCCTTACCTGCAACAGCAAAGAGAAAATCGTGTAATGCAAAGTTTATATAATAATTATATTAATGATAAATAATAATTGTTTTCATGTGATTTCTATGTATGTTATTTAGTTGTACTTAAACGCATAATTATAATATTTGTAACCATAATTTACTATTGCAAAAAGACAATATATAATTTGAAATAAAACTTGTTAGAAAAATTATAAACAGGCACAAACAATTAACTACTACATTACACGGATTTAAATCTAGCTGTATGAGAAAATTGATTTTTATTATTTAAAACCTAATGTTGCTTATGCTGTTTCACGTTATATTTCGTCGGGGCAGATCGTGCTTCAACTAATAACGACCGAATTAATCGCATATCTTGATATATCCCTTTGAAAAGCCACGTGTGTTTTCTGTATCGTGATCTACTTTTGTGGCCTACACGCTCGTTAATTTAACGAGCTCATTTAAAGAAACAGCGTAATCTTCGGTAATAACAGTAATAGAAACAGTGCTTAATGCAATTCCTCGGAGGATAGGACGAAAGGACTCACTCCATCCGGGTGCCGGCACAATCAGACCGGAAATCATTTCTTCGCTGATTACTGGCGGGTCGGTGGGCGGCGGCGGGCAGACCAGGCTGTCAATTATGTCATCGGTGACTCGCATAATGCCCGTGAGATCCGGCGGCTCCGTCCTGGAGGATCGCATCATCATGCAGAGACCCACCTCTTCCTGCAGAACGCTCTCCAAGTACATCATATCCAGGTCACTTACGACCGAGCCGTTGATTATCATAATCTCGTCGCCCTTAATGATTCCTGAAAGCAAACGCCACGTGAAACTGTGCCCTCCCCGGCGAGGATTTGCGTCGGGAAAGAATATTCGAGCGTAAAACTTTCGTCGGTAACAAAATGTCTGTCGATGATCGACAACGGTAGATTGAAAAGATTAGCGGAATTATTACTGTGCAAACAATCCTTATCGTTGACGTTGAAGAATTTTTAGTTTACAGATAATCGTCCAAGTACTTTTCTCACCGATGCTCGTAAACTCGGATACACGCGATAGAGTAAAAATTAGCGTTCGCGACTACCATTTTATAGTAACTTTCGACTGACATTGTGTGCGTCTGCCTCGCGACGTGTCTGCGAAGAAGACCAACCGTTCGGCTCGCTATCTTTCGCAACTATAATAAGTTGCTCCCTTCGGTCGTGCTTGACGAGCAGGCTGCCCTGATAAATTTAGACACGATTTGCGGAAAGGCGGCGCTAAATGTCATTCTGATTTGTTCGCGCCTGCGGCCCTAAGATCGTCCCACCCCCGGCGTGTGCGCATATATATTTTCATTATATATACATTTCTTTTTTTACGCGCATTATGTGCGCTTCATTTAACCGTAAGCACGAGACTCCGCTCGACGAGCGAGCGACGAGGCGCGGAAAATCGATCATTTTTCAATGGCGTCCTTGCGCATCCTGACGCCGACGCCAGGTCTAAAGAAATTAATACGGTCGGACCTCGACGCAAGTCGTCTTCCAAGACGTCCACGCAGCAAGTTAAATCTAGAATGGAGATGCGTGGTGGAATCCCCTAACGCGACCCCATTTTCACCCCCTTGCTGCCATTTGATATATTAGCGTGATACAAACTTGCCGGGATTTCAAAATTCGTTCATCTCCTTGCTCTTTTAATCCTCGTAAAGAAAAAAACTGAAGAAACTTTTTAATTAATTTCATACATTACTTTGAAACTTTGCCACGTTAGATTAGTCAGTTATACAAAGGATCAACGACGCTATAATAAAAGCGGATAATAAGAAAAATGTATCGCTAATAAATGACGAGAAATAAAAAAGACCTTGTAACGATCGAAACTTCTAATCGTTGCGCTCGAGGGACGTTTATTTTAGTTGGACGTTGTCCTAGATAAGGGGTGCTTACCGTTTTGCATGGCGACGCTCTTGTCTTCCACTCTACTAACGTAGCAGCAGAGCTCGTCCTGCCTATCGGCGTTTTCTATGAGCTCCGCCTCGACGGAGAAGCCCCACATTTGCTCTAAAGTGTTTCTTTGCAATTCCACTTGATATAAAATCTTGGCACAGACTTCCACGATTTCATGCGTATGCAACTGCGCGCAGCAAAAAGAGTTACGTTAAATGTCTGCTATGAGAAATCGCTGTTAAAAGTCGCGACTTCAATCACAACAGTCGATTTAAAACAAATGGAGAACGATAATCTTCTTCAACAGCGTAAAAATTATTCTCTCTATTTGACCCGTTCGATTCTTTAAAAATTAACTTTGCGATATACCACGTTTTTAAGTGCTTTCCCAGCGCTCTTTTGTAAAATTATTTGTACATATTAAATTATATTAAATTGCTTCAAAATTTCATCCTGCTCAATTAAGTCCGAGATAATTGCAATACTTGAAATTACTTCCAGTGGCAAATAGCATGAAGCAGTAACGCCTCATTTCGCCTCGATAATCTCGAATTTCCAGCCTGAAATTTTTGCATATTTAGAGATTAGCCTCCCCGAACTTACATAAGTTTCTATCAAATCAGTCCTAGGTGGCACAAAGTAGTTATGGTCCTCCATATCCCGGCGCTTCTTGACGCGCACAAAGTGCTCCATCGGATTGAGATTCTTCCTGGTGCACGCGCTCGCCAGGAACTCCTCCACGGTCATGGCGTCACGCAGGAACACCGAGACCAGCTGAAACAACGAGCGAGAAACGCCGGGTCGCGTTCGCCTTACCCTTATCACACTCTAAGCGTAAGCGGAATAGAATTTCGATCAACTCACCCGATGTCCTGACGATCGTACCTGATTTTCTGGCACGGACACCTTCACGCTCTTCTCCTCGTCCCTGGACGAGATTTGCAGCGACCGCCTGCTGGAGCCGCTGTTCGATCTCGACAGCAGCGGCGGTCGTCTCTTCGTTGCTCCGCGACCCGCCAATAAATTATTTAGCAGGGACGGGCTACGCGCGCAGATAAACGCGTGGAAGGACGACACGTTGAACACGCTACACGAGATACCCAGCATGTTCAGCGTTAGCTTCGTGGCGCGAGACACGTGCGTCAGTAGACTCTGCGGGAGAAACGGGAGTTTACTTAGTTTACGCCTGGACCAGGCCACTCGCTAATCCTCTACGTTGTCGCTTTCGAAAAGAACGGGAAAAACTTTTCAATTTATAAATTTACGAGACTTCTTAGATAATGGAACCGCTGGTTGCCATCCGGAGAGGTGTGTCTTCTGCGAAAGAGGTGCCGTCGAAAAATGAATCCGTAAAACATTCCAATACAAGTTTTCGTTATCGCTCATGAATCGCAGTCATCAAAATCGCTTAACTGCAACGATCGCGAGAACGTTAATTTATCGGATATTGCATGGCCACCTGGTCCTCCCTTCCTCCCTCCCTCTCGCCTTCTTGACGATCGATATCACTCATAACGAATGGCGCAAATTACATGAGCGTGACGCAGATGGACCTCTAACGAATCCTGATTGCGTGTACGCTGCGGACGAGAGAGAGGCGATTTTTTTTCCAGCCAATTGCAGTAACCCGCCGCGCAGAGAGATTGCAGCGCGTAATATTGTTTACGGGCGAGAAGTCGAGGGAGAATCGGTTTTTCCGCGAAAGCTCACAGCGTTCCGTTCGATTGCAATTGGAATTGAGCGTAATGCCGGTTCCGCATCGTCGCATTCGACGACGATCGACGCGCGTGTATGTGACAAAATAGAATCAGCTCGACGACACGGTCTTCCGAATTCTTCCCCCTCCGAGATAAAACAACGCTTGCGCGAAAGCGACTGTGCGAGCTGACAAGCTTAAATTATCGGAAAAGATAAAAACATATATCACGGATAAAAAATATTTGTGTAATATCAATTTTTATATAAATTCATTTGTTCGTGAAATCGTGAAGGAAGTATGATAATATATTCTTGCGAAATATGAAATATTCAGAGTATGAATGAGCGCGATAATTTAAAAAAAATACAGTTATGCGCAAGGAAATATTATTGCAGGAATGCAGTGTCACTCGATAATCGTAGCATGTATATTAGAGAGAATTTTTCCCTGCCCAAGCAATTGCGTCTGTAATAGTGTGAAGCAATTACGGAGCAGTGTATCTTCTGGCCGGTCTACGAAGCGTTAAATATTCTATATTACGCTTGGTGCTGACGTTTCAATGAAGCTGGTGGTGCTTACCTTCGGATTGGGCAGTTCGCTGCTCTGCAAACTGGCCATGTAGCACCGCAGGCGGAATTGCTCACAGTGGAGCCGCTCCAAGTTCTCCTCCCACTGTACTATTTGATTGTTGATCTGCTGCTTGGTATCGACGTCGGAAACCACCGATTGCTGAAGATCCGCCATGTGCTTCATCTTGTGGTCCTGCAAGCAGCAAACACGATTAGCATCCCCCTTTGTCCATTCTCTTTTCTCTTATTAAAAATTGTGTCAAGTTTGAAAATGAAAGTAGGGCGATTAAGAACATTCGATCTTCGCCGGAAGCTCACAGCAATTCTTGCCAAGTTCGATAAAATTGATAACAAAGCGATTGCAAGAATGCTTCCCTACGTTCGGCTATTCTTCTTCTTTCACGCGCTCCTTTCCATTTATGTCTGTCCAGACACCTTCGACGACAAGCTGAGCCGGACGAAATTATATCGACCGACTCGTATTCTATCTACGTACCGACTCGATCGCCTTTTCCAGACGGAAGATCTCCTCCTGCAGCAGATGCAGCGTGCCGGTCTTGCCGCGATGACGCGCGAACGCGGCGGCGCACGCCGAATGAATACTGTTCACCCAGTTCTCCAGCTCCACTTGACACGGCGCCTAAACACAAAGCGAACACACCATGTTTCTCCACGAGCTAAAACTTCATCTCCCCCGTCGGCGGACTTGCCAAGCTGATCGATCGTCGACCGCCACGTCGCTCACGCTTCCGAGTGATTTAAAGTCGCGGCAAGCCTTTAAGTAGCGGCAGCGGACTATTAAAAGTTCGCCGTGTTGCGTGACCGAGGAACGAGTTCGCGAGACCGGGTTAATTAAATACACCTAGTTAACGATTCGCGCGGTTAATGCACTCTCGAGGGTTACCGGAGTGCGCAGGTCCAATTGTGAACCGGTGCAACTATTCCCCCTGATTTAGAAAGAAATTCTAATTCTGCGTTGCCGTTGTACTTGTAAGAAATACGCAAAAAGAAAACATAACGGGGCAAGCTGCACGATCTCAACACTTTCGGATATTCATTTATGTCATGTATGAAGTCCCGTGATAAAGCTTTCTCGCAAGGATCAATCTTGGCTGTGAGAATGAAAAGGAATCTAAATCCTTGCGGCTACAGAGCAGCGTCCTTTACTGAACAATTTAAGTTTTTGGCAGTTGAAATGATCATAAAGTATGAATAAACTGTAAACTTCAGTGGATAACTGAAGGAAACGGATTTGTGAATTAGCTGATCACGGCTAAAGGGTCGAAAGTTAGAGAGAGAAAGCCAGAACGCTCGAATGTACGCGGAACACATAACACGGACACCTTGGCTGTGAGAATGACGCGTGACTCTTACACGCCCCCGAATTGATAAGGGGATCTCAACTGAAAAGAAACGAAATCCGAAAGACCTCTGATATTCCCGTCCGATCTATCCTTTAGGCTGGAATACACCAGAGCCGTCAAGGATGGAAACAGCCTTAGACCGGTATTCATAGTCAGATCTTATATTCAAGGCCGTCTTAAGATCACCTTTCGATACTCCGTAGCCAATAAAATGTTCCACACAGCATCTTTAGATAATTTTAAGACGATCTTGAATGTAAGATCTGACTGTGAATACCGGTCTTAGATCGGAGGGCGCCATATAACCAACAGAAGTCTCGAAAGCTTACCAATACTCAAAATAATGTGAAACCAGTAATGGCGACGCAAGAAGTAGGGCGGGTGCCCTCTCGCCTCTGTAAGAAATCGCACTCGATTCAATACTTTGTGTATTATTTCGCGCTTAGAAGCAACCGACAAATTATACTCGAAGCGACGAGAGATTCAATGCGACGATACGAGATTGTATGAACATCGTTTAAAGAAGCACTTGTCGTCCGTTGTTATCGCAATGAAGAAGTAATTTCAAGTCAGCTAGCGCTCCGATTTTTTCGACGTACGATTTCATGTGTGAATCGCGCGATAATGTCGATCGCTGATTGTTCACAGAGAGCGATCGTGGTTTCTTCCCGTATTTGTCGCAAACGCGTCTCAAGAAAGAACAATACGATCCGCGGACCGATCCGTTCGACTGTCGCCGCGTGAATGACAGGCACAGTGAGAATAGACTACGACCGAAGTGTTTACGGCGCTCATTTCTCGGAACCGGCGCTCGGCGTTCGACGCCCGATTTCCAAGAACCTCCGCGATTGACAACAAACCTCAATGATCGACGAAATTTTAAACAATTCACGAGGATATAGTCTGAAGAAACTTATGCTGCAATTCTAAGCAAAATCGTAAGACTCGTTAATTGCTTTCGTATAAGATTCAGAAGAATGAACTTTATGAGTGATTTGCAATTCTGTGCTTGCACGTATATATTTTATATATATATTTTTTTTGACGAGTGACCGTATGATAAACGCATAGAATCGCAGCTTACTCGTGCATTAGTTCTCACGAGTCTCACGAAAACAAGTAACGAATCGCACGATTTTGCACGAGTCTCAGATTACGGCATTAGTGATTAGACGGTGCACTGCTTCTCCACCTTGATCCTATTCTACGTCTGGCTTCAAGTTTAATTGGCGTTATTAGTTATTACTATTTGCGATAATATTCCGCGTTGATTAAGAAGCTGGTATGTAAAAATGGCAAAACTGTGTACGGCAAATTACTGCTGCTTCTACAAATCTAGTTTTCATTTTTCGCGGCTCCGATTTATTTAAGTCCCCGCTATTAAAAGTTTAAAAAGTGTAAAGGGCGCTTCATTACGGAGAGATCTTTTCCGTGTACAAGTCGAGTATTTTCTTTGCCGTTTCTGTATTTTTTTAAATAAACGGATTACGAGGCAAAGTCGCGGCGAGACTCTCTCACCTGGAACAGATAGGCGTCCCCGAACGCGGTGCTCAGGCAAAATACGTAATCCCTGCGCGGGTGCTCGGGGATCGGCTGCATAATCGCACCGTCGACGATGATCAGATGTTTAGGTGCGGCCTCCATGGCCCTGCTCTCCTGCGACTCGCAGGGGTAGAAGAGGAGCGTGGTCCCCTTCAAGCAGACGTAATAGCCCCTCCAGCCTCTCTTCTTGGCCAGCTCGATCTGATGCTTCTTGCGCAGCAACCATTTCTTCACGCTGAGATATCTAGAAATTCCAGGGCGTCCTCTCAGTTTCTCTCTCCATTTCAATTTCATTTCTATTACTTGTAATCATATTACAATTTCTAATTGGTATTGCAATTATATTAAAAAATAATTTTATATTATTTACTGTTATTTCTATTGTTTGTTCTAGATTGGATTTCATTTATTTCGAGATTATCGGCTTTTTCATCGAAAATATCACGAATAATAATAAAATATTATATTTATTATGTAAAAATTTTCTTCGTTCGCTCGTCGTAAATTAATACGGACTACCATATAGATATAAACATGTGCACGCACAGCGTACGCTATATATTCTAGAAACTGCAAAATATATAATTTAGAATTTTCTTTATATGGCCTTCGTATATCTGCGCTAATACGCGGGAGATCTTTATATAGGTTCTCCGAAGGCTCATTATTTTTAAAGATTAAACATTTTGAAGAATGCAACAGCACGAAAGACACGACGAATAATACATACCCCGCCTTCCGAACTGCGCCGGTGCAATTGAACGAATTTGCAGCCGTGCCGCCGGTCTGCTTCCGATAGGGCGAATGTATACCACTCTCGCCGTCGTCATCGTCACTGACGGCGGTGGTGAGTGACATCCTATCATCGTCCGACATCTAGAAAATACGTCAGGCTTTATCTTCAGCTGCGACGAACGCGCTTGTCACTTGTGAAAATCGAGACAAATACGGACGACTCCGCGTCAAATTGGACAGCGGGTTAATCGATTATTTCTCGTTCTTTTCGACTTCCTTTCGTACACTTGCGCTTCGTAGGAAGCTGCGGATCTACACGAGACTTTAACATTGTAAGTTTCGCGGAATCGCCCGCACGCGTGAAAACGAACAGTGTGTCGTGTATAAGAGAGGGTGAAAATGTGCGTAGAGAAAATGTACGGTGCAACTGCGATAGGGTGATAAAGGATATGCAAAGATAAGATCTAGCGGATTACTGATAATGGCAGGATGCTTTATATGTACATAATTCATCGACATTTCCTCATCTATCTAAAAGTGCACGTTTGGGAATTTCAAACATGGATTGTGTCATACATACATATTACTATTTACAATATATATATATTTTTTTTATCAATCTATTTACCGATTCATTAAAAAAATGTATCTCAAGATTATATGATGCGATTTACTGAAATTATTTGGCTGCATTTCCGTCGTATACAACCATGTAAAATCTGTAGTTTAAATGCGGGCAATTAATGATCAATTATTAATTAGTATTATTATAATCGAATCAGGCGATTACTGCGGATAAGTCAAAGGGCATGAAATTAAGAAGTGGGGCATTCGCATTGTACGTACAAATTGGCAGTGGAGATGCAAAGAAATCTTATAGCTTTAATGAGCGCATGCTACTCGAACGTGGCAACTAGTATCGATGCAACTTGAGCGGGACTCGTTTACAAGTACTTTGCGCAAGAAGATCGTCTCAATTTCAAGAGCTAACACGCGGGCGTACATGCCAGAACCTCTACTTTACTCGCATTATGCAGCAAAAAGACAGCCGCGTCGCAAATGCAAAGTGCAACGTTCTAATAATTCCACTGCTTTCGCTGTCCATCCCCTCGTTATTGTCGCTCATTTGTCGCTCGTTTACCGTCTAAGACTCTTGACCGATTCTCAGCTCGAGTGTGACGCTTCTCAAGAGACGCATGGTTGTTTCATTCCTAAACTTAGCGAAACGATGGCGAGATGAAAATGAGATGCGATATCGAGTGCGAGAATGAGTGCGAGTAGTCAGGGGGTCGACGAACGAAAGTCCAACGGAAGTGGCGTGTTCGGAGGCGCGGACTTGACTCGTGTCCTTTCTACCCTCGCTTCTCTCTGGCCGAAGCGCATGCCAACAATACGAGCGGTACTCGGCGGTGCGATCGTCGCAACACCGGGAGGGGAAAGAAAACAAACAGAGATATACTCGGAAACATATACAATATCGAGAGAAGCATTCCTTCCAGAAGAGATATAAAGAGATTCGCGAATCGTGTCCTCTACCTTTTTCGTAATATTCATCATGCCGCGGAGCCTCTCGCGTATCCCCCTGAGGCTCTCGTCGGCCCAGAAACTTACGACTCTTCTGAGAAAGTCGGCGTTGCACGCATCCGCCGTCATGTGCGGATGGTAGTGACAGTAGCAGCCCTCCTTGAGCAGCCTCATGTTGTTCTCCGCGCTTCCGTTGATCTTCAACATTATCTCGCGTCGCGCCACGCTCAAGCCGTCGATGTAGCGCTGCGCCCAGGCGTTCAACGCCCCGTTCACCAGCCGCAGTAATTTGTGGTAGTACCCCTCGCCCGAGCCGTACGTCACCTTCTCCTGCACGTTCCGGCAGTTGAACCAGTACAGCTTGCGCGTCTCGTTAATGCATATCACGCTGATCGTGTGCCTGCGGCACCAGCAGAAGTATTTCCAGCAACGTCGCTGATGCTGCGTCTTCAGGTCCGTGTAGCAATCGTCACTCGGGTCCAGCAAGTCCAGGGTGCTATTCGTACACTTGATCGACCATCTCGGCTCTACCATCATTCGTCGTTCGCTCTCGGCGGTGATAGAACGAGGAAGAGACGCGGAACCCGCGGCTAGGTGTTGGCGGCGGCGGTGCCTACGACTGGGACGACCTCAGGATGGCATCCCTAGCTTCCCGATCGCGGTGCGAGACAGTCTCGTCGCCGGCCATGGCGTCCCGTTCCACCCCCGGCGGTGTCATTATTGTCTCGCGGACGGTAGAAGAAAATATCCACACGTGGCACGATGAGATATTCTCGTACGATCGATTGTCGCGGTGCGTAAGCTCGATGGTGTCGCCTCGAGACACGCTCTTAACGGACCTTCACGTCGACGTCCTCATTAAAGTCTCTCGCGCGATCGAGTATCGTGAATGCCAGCTGCTCCGCCGGAATTGCAAGTCGCAGAATCCGATTCTCAAACGTTAGATCGTAAATATGCCCGCCGAATAAAATATAAACGCCCAACCGGCACACATTCCCGGAAAGTGGAACGACAGTGGGACAGCCGCCGTTGATCAGGTCCTCTCGAGCTCGCCGCGAGTTTACGAGTTCGGGGAATTGGAAAGCTCGAGATTTATCAATAGAGTCCTCTATTTTAAGGCAAACGTCTTTTGCACTGTTTAAAATCAATCACGGCTCAGAGAGAGATCCCTTAACGCTAACTTTACTCGACTACGGTCTAATCTAGCTATCCCGAGAATCCAAAGCGTGGGCGATGACGCACGGAGAAGCACGAGCGCGGTAGATCCACCGCGGGTGTTCGCAGGTACTTGTATGCAGATGAGTTCTCCACTGGAATCCTCGAGATTTCCTCGAGAGTCCCGAGTAAGAAGCGCACAGCGGGAAGTATCGTTGTCGACGATACGGGCTGGACGATCGTGGACGACGTCACTCCAGCTCCCGCCTTCCCGGCGAGGGGGCTGATAATATATATATATATATATATAATTTTTCTATTTCTCTCTCTCTCGCTTTCTCGCTTATATAATAGAAACGAACTATCCATAGAAAAATACTCTCTCGCTCTCTGCTTAAGTATACATATAGATATACTCTCTGAATGTTGATCCTCGCTCCTCTCCAGCTGATTTCCCTCCTTTCCCACGTATCGCTATAGGTGCCCTCTCAAAGCATCGATTTTCTTCTCTCTCGCGGAAAAATGCGCTGTAAACCATCGTACGCTCCCTCGCCCGCACCTTATCTAATCTCCAACCTCGTCCCAAATATATTATCTCAATCTTTAACTGATCCCCTTCTCGAATATACTCCCTCGCACCTTATCTGATGATCTCTTCCTTCGCGCGCTCTATCAACTAAGTGTCCCCCTCGCGTAGCCTTTGTATCGGTAAGTCAGTCGTTCGCAGATCGAACTTTGATTCTCTTTGATTCTCCGGAAGTCATTCCGCGGCGGAAATCAGCCTCGGGATGATCATTGACGCGGGGAGGGAGGGGGGGCGGGGGAGAAGAGGATCCAGGTACCCGTGACGATGTTGCCATCGTCGACGCGCGCCGGCACGTCCCGACCGTTTTGTCGCCGACCTCACACGTGCGGCCGAATTCCGTAGGCGCGTAGGTGTCCCTGAGGGAGCGATCGGCGTGTTGCCGCGCGCCCTAACTCCCGGCTCGCATCGCGACGCAAAGATTCGTCCGTCGATCCCAACGACGTCCCCCGCGGGAGTCCTCCTTCCGCGATTTTCGCGCAATTTCTCGGAGCCAGCAACCCCACACCCGGCGCGGACCCGCTCGTCGAATTCACCGGAGGTCTCGTCGAACGGCGGCTGCACTTGCGACGTATCAACGTCGAGAATCCCCCGAAGACTTGGTCATCGCTTCCAGACGCGCCATCGTGGAACGTTTACGATCTCTCGTATCCTACGGTCGCGCACAGGTTCTCTCGTCAGTTTACGCTCGATGGAGCCTCCGATGGAGGCCGCGGGGCCGACGCGACGAGGATCCGCTGCCGAAGAATCGGGTCGGATGCGATTCACGGGACCGGGGAGAGCGGGACCGTCGCTCGCGCGGAAACGCGCGTCCTCACCGCGTTCTCCAGCGGGTGGACGACAGCCGTTGGCGCCGTTGCCGACGTGTCCGGGGACGTGTACCGCGCGCGGCTCGGCGACTTCCGGCGCCCGCGCATCGGCGCATCAGCGGGCGCCGCGCTCTCCGAGCGCGCCCCGGCGGGTGGTGCGAGCCGCGCTGGACGCCGAGAGGGGGAGAAGAAGCTGCGTCGTGCCGCGTCGCGTTCTCCACGAGGTCGCTCGCTCGCCCGCTCGCTCGGCTCGTTCTCGCTAATAATGCGTGGCCGCTAATACGCGCCCATCGATCGATGGGCCCCGCTGCACGCGGGGTCGCGCCGCGCCGCGGGCTCGCGGCCGAGTGATGCGCTCGTCATCGCGGGGTCTTATCGCCGCCGCCTACGGCGGCCTCGGATCTCGCGGCCGATGCGGCACCGATCGCGATCGACTCAACGAGATGCACTTCTCGGGATGTAGGGAACTCTTTATTTTTCCTTTCTCTCTTTCTCTCTCTCTCTCTCTCTCTCCCTCCCTCGCTTGCCCTTTTTTCTTATCCTCCCTGCCTTCCCTGCTTTTCTTTGCGCGCGGATGTCACCAAGTCCGCAGCCGCGAACGCGCTTCGCTCCGGACTGCCGCTGGAGAACAGGGAAGAGGAGCTGCTACCGCGAGGGGAATCAATACCTCGGTCCTTGTGGTGGTCGAAGGGGGCTTGCAGGAACGAGCGGAGGCGAGGAGGCGCGGAGAAAGCGGCGATAGCAGGGGAGGGATGCCATGGAGAAGGGAGGGTGGTTGGCACTGGGATATCGTCGGTGGTGGTGTCCGCGGCCGTGGGGTGGGGAGCTACACTTGGGAGGCGAAACGAGGCGCGAGCGAAAGGGGTGGTATGCACCGCCGGGGGGTGCATAGAGGAGAGGACAGGGGAGGGGGGGGGGCCGAGGGGAGACGTGACGCTCTGCGCTGATCGAGGCTGACAGCCAAGCTGCCGCGCGATGATTGTTACCCGCTGGCCCCAATGACGAATATCCGACTCCGAGGGTGAATCGAGCTTCGGGCGAGTTTCAATAAACTGGGGGTCAATTTCTCCGAGCGCTGCCTCCGCGAGAGAGAGGGAGAGAGAGAGAGAGAGACGCCGGATTACCTTTCTGGAGCCCTCGCGTCCTTGGACGAATTTATTTCCGGGCGGATCGAGGGATGGTAGCGGGAAACTTTTAACCGGTGTAACAAGCTCTTTAGGATCCGCCGCTGCCCCGCGCGTTTATCTATCCCTTTGCAATCTTCTCTAGCCAAAGGATCGTTATCGTAGAATTTCTGAGTCTTGTAAAATTCATTTTCCTCGTTAGACCCTCCCTTTAATGTATTTTCCAGTGATAAAAATGAGCTAACTATATCCTCCAAGATCCCCCCGTCTTTCAGCGAGGTAAAATGTATAGCTGGAGAAAACAGTTCTGATATTCAATTTGACGTATCAGCCGCGTCGAATCGCCTTCGTATTCGATCGAACGTGCCGATCTTCGGCCATTGCCTATATGTATAGTGTACCTCAATCTTTTATTCGCGTCTAGCGTCGTGTACTTCGTTTTCGCCGTAGAGGGAACCGAGAGAAAAAGAGGTTGAAAAAAAAATTATCCTACACACGGATTATGTATAACGGGTTGGCGCATGCGAGCGACGCGAAGTTTTATTGAATTTTACAACATAGTTCCTCGCGGCTGAAGGCGATAAGAAACGTCGTTGCGCCGTGAAGACCATCGCGACAACCCGTCCGTCCGAGATTTACACGCGCGGACAATAGAATTGAACATCCCCTAATCGGCGATCGCGCCGCATCGCGCGCGTCGATCGACGATCTCCTTGACTCGCATTTGCGCCCCCCCCCCCTCGCGACGAGGGAGGATCGAAAAAAAACGACGCCGAGGCCGGACCAAAGTCGCGAAAGACTTTGCGCGCGCGTTTGCGCATGCACCTGTTGGCGCAGGCCGCTGCTCGACTTGTGCAATGGTGCAGGGATGCTCGATTCTTATTTACTCTCGCACGTCAAGCTCGGCCCGCTAATCTCGGCGCGACCTATTAACCCTTAGACGCGTGTCTTTGCGCGCGGCGCGCCGCATGAGCCCCCGACCTTTACGGGAGATCGTTGTATTTCGAGAGAGCTGCCGATACGATTCCCAGAATAGAATTTTGCACATTTTTTCCAATTACTTTTCAAGTTATCTCAGGTGGTAAAGAGCGCCGGATCAAGATTAGGCCCACGATCCTGTGGGTTTTGTTATATTTCTATAACTGCATATAATTACTTTCGTTATACTCTCATATTTTTTCATTTCGTTGTACATCAGTGCCTGAGAGGTCAACTGTCGTAGCTGACATTTAGGCTCTGACGTGAAATCATAATTCAAAGGAATGAAGGATATAAAGCCAAGGCAGGTACAAATATCGAGGAAAGTCCCCTGTTATGAGATAGACTCCTAATATGAGACAGCGGAGTTTCCGCATAATTAATAGGCATCATCTGTCGGTTCCGCCATGAATTTATTGCCCTCGGAGTGAAATCTGTTTGACGAAAAACCGATCGTTAGATCGTGCAATCGTTGTGCAAAGAGATTTGCGATTGAATTTGGAAACCCACTGTCTCGCATTAGACTCCCATCTCACAATAGAGGACTTCCCTCTATATTTTTCAAATTGAAAGCTTCTGCTTGAAATTGTTTTACACGTAATCGGCGCGTAAAAAGTGGAGCCACCACGGTGGTTACAGCTGTTCGACAATTGGTTGAATAAAAGCCGACGTTTGCGTGAGCGTGCACTAACAGAATTTCCATTATCCCGCGGTTGATTTTCGTAATGGGCACCATCGCGCGGCACAACGTACGCGCGCGTATGCGTGCCCGTGACGGGGTGCGTTTCCACACCGCGTATACATATCCCGCGCATTCAGATTCCCGGCACACGTACGGACCCCACCCATTCCGCGATCTCCCTACGTATCCCCCCCCCCCCATCTATATACCCCTCTCTGTATCCATATGCCCACACGTTTCTATTTGCGGTGCAAAACAACCGAGACGTAGACGGGGTGTTTACTCCGTAAGGGGTTGCGTTAGCGACGGGCTCGAGCGGCTCGCGAGAACGAGACACAGGGTCAGTAGGTTATCGATGTTCGTCGGTCACACATAAACGCCCTTCGTGCACACGGGAACGGATCATGCGCCCGCACAATGCACTCGTCGAGTGCCGGGACACTTTGCATTAGCGCGAGACCCGTGTCGCGCCCGCGAATTGCGGATAAAACTGCAATGGAACCCGCGGTCGTTCTTTTGCCGAATTGCCCCGCGAAGTGGAACAATTCGGCGTCCGATTATCGACGCCGCGTGTGCATTTCCGTTTCCTCGATTCCGCGCTGACCTCTTTTGTAACGCCGTCGTTACACGATAGGCGTGGCCAGCGCGAGAGCGCAATTTGTACAACCGGACCTCCGAGGGTCGCGCAATTTCTCCAAACTATTAGAAACGGGAAGTAGTTCCGCGGCATTGTGCAAGCGTTCGCGAAATGTACCAGCGCGTATTAATATCGTCGCGTTGGAAGAGAGAGGGGAATAACAAAAAATGTAACAAATTTGGCAAATTATTTTTGAAGAATGCTTCATTAGCGTCAGCACTAAATTGACCGTCGGCTTGATTAGGTATACCGTTTCGGCTAATTTAATACTTCCGAGACCGATAAAATGTCGGCGAGTTGCCATGTTGAAAGATGTATACGCAAAAATATTATTAGACGCGAAGATCCAGTATGACGTCGTGGGTCTTTCTAGTGTGTGATTTATGAAAACTTCGAGATTTCAATAATAAACGATTAAGTATGAATTTCCGCACCTTTCTAACTTCAATCTATTTCAAGATACGATTTAATTGATAGGAAATTGTAACACATAAGGTGTACGGTTGCGATCGATTAAAACATAACGAGATTAACAGTCGAATTAATATGGAAACTCTATAATTTACTAAAAATGATATCATTCATTTATTAGCTTATTTGCAAAGAGTTGTGTAGATGTATACGCAAAAATATTATTAGACTCGAAGATCCAGTATGACGTCGTGGGTTTTTCTAGCGTGTGATTTATGAAAAACTCGAGATTTTAATAATAAAATATTAAACATGAATTTCCGCACCTTTCCCACTTCAATCTGTTTCAAGACACGATTTAATTGATAGGAAATTGTAACACATAAGTTGTACAGTTACGATCGATTAAAACATAATGAGATTAACAGTTGAATTGATATGGAAACTCTATAATTTACTAAAAAAAAATGATATCATTCATTTATTAATTTATTTGCAAAGAGTTTTGTAGAAATGTTATTTGACTCGTCTCAGTCCGGTTGTAGAACAAGAAATTATAAATCGAAGCGAACGAGCGGGATGCAAATTTGCTTTATCGCAAAAATATGCTCTTATCTACCGCGGTTTGAAGTGGCCTCGCAGCCTTCGGAAACAGTTGCCGCCATCGCTCATCGATTCGAGCTTTCGCAAGTACAGCTGGGTACTTCGCTCCGTTTTAAATCACAAATGGATGGTAAAGAGTGCGAGAGAAAGAAAATCTCTCAAAGGGCTTTAAGAATAATGCGTCCGCGCCACATCGCGAATACGCTTTTGTGAAAAGTTTTGTGTTGTGTGCGCGCATGCAACGGGGGCGATAGATGAGAAAAGCCAGGCAGCAATAAAACCCATATATGAAGCGGCTTTTTAATAAATAAAGAGAATAAGGCAAGCCGGTATGTTATATCTGCCGATTATATATCTAATTCACGATTCTATTTATGATTTAATTATACTGTCTAAAATAATTGTTACAAGACCTCAATAAAATAAAAATATAGAGGTGAGTCCCCTATTATGAGAGAAGCTCCCAATATGAGACAGCAAGGTTTTTGCTAAATTAACAGGCATCATCTATTGGTTTCATCGTGAATTTATTGCCCTTGGAATGGAATCTGTTTAGTGGAAAAATTTATTGTTAGATCGTGCAATCGTTGTGAATAAAGATTTGTGATTCAATTTTCACGTTGAAAACCTGCTATCTCGTATTAGAAGTCTATCTCATAATGGAGGACTTTCCTCTACAATTATAATTCGAGAAATGTTGATTATATTCCAAATATACCTTTGTATCTTTCTCAAGTTTTAATAAAAATAAGAAAAAATTTACTTTTAATTTATGTAAAGAAACATTTTTTAATTGTATTTCACTTTATTTTACCCATTCACGCACGCATGTATATTCTCTCTCTCAGTTTTACGTATTACTCGATTAGAAAAATGTAAAACGTGAAATAATTTGTACTTTGAATATCCGATAAATATTAATAATGTTAATTAGTTGTTTTGTTAATTAAGTTTATATAAAACACAAAATTTATAAAATGTTTATTCATGCATACGTTGCATGTATGCCCACTTTATATTGCCTCACAAAATCTATATTCCCAGTTACATTAATAATCCCAATCGCGTTCCGCGGTCGATGTGCATTACCGTCTCGCGTTTAATTAATATTGAAGTACGCGTAATTAGATTTAATATTTAGCACGGCATATCCACGATTCTTAAGTGCAGGACTTAATCTTTTAATCTATTAATCTTCGTAGCGATCACAATTATCGATTATCGGAGTGTGAATGCAGAGGACACAATACTTAATTAATAATCCACGACGTAGCTTTGTAGTTACTACCGGCATAGAATTATTCGGAGCTGGCGGGGACATATTCTAGACATGCAGAATATCAACGCAAGACATCCAAGCAGATATCCTTTGCATGTATCATAGCCGCACATAGCATGAACATGAACCGCGCTACAAAGGCACCGTTGAGTGGCTCTTGGATGTATCAGGTTGATAAGGTCAACGAGTGCTTGGATAACTCACTTCGGAAGACGTCAAGTAGCAGAGCCTCGAGTCGGTGCTCTCCAATGAGGCTTGTTGAACGATTCCGTATCTGCCATCCCGGTCGGGCATGTAGTCAGATCTGACGCTGTCCTGCCTGTCGAAAGTACCTCTGGAATATGCAACACATCCAACTGAATACCGCGACGCATATTGCCATTAAAAGCGTACGAGATAAACGTCATTCAATTACAGACGCGCTCTCCTTCTCTTTTAATTAAAGTGATTCGTGAAAAGCACCTTTCCTGACGGTTAAAAATAATTCGTAGCAAGTTTTTCCTGCATTTCATACATGTACAGTTTATGCGATTTAGACTTTATACAAATATTAAAGAGTCGAGAGCTGTAATCTCTGACGTTACACAAACACGCGTACACACGACAATCACTTTGAAATTAGTTCGCGCACGGAGCATGTTCCTCTATTTATATGATGAGATACAAATGTGATTGAGCTATATCAAATTGGATCATATCTTACCGCACGTTCAGCGACTTTATGTTAATATTTATAGCATAATGTTATGTTTCTAATGCTGCCATTGGTAACGTAGAGAGCACTAAGACTAATAAATCGTTTTCGCGACAGTACAGAGACCTGTCGAGATGTGCGATAAAAGCAGGAGGGGAGCGCAGAGCACAATGAAAGTATGGAAGACAATGCGAACAATATAGGGCAACAAAAGGTAGATGGTAGCGAATGAACGTCAACTACAAGAAAAGAACACTAAAGTACAAGTACGCATTGTGCCGAAAGGGGCACGTTCTTCTTTAACTTTTAGCTACGGACATATATACTTTGACTGCGTACTTGTCTCAAAAAAGCTATCGATAGATTAATTAAAAATAGATGGTTCTACATCTTTCCAATGCAACAAGAATCTGAGTTACATGATAAATGTGATGTGAAAAATGTTACAGTCTGAAATTATGAAAATGTTCCATCTTAAGATAACCGTTAATGATTTCTTCTGCGGCGAAGCTAGTCCAGGTACATCTGGCACCATCGCCGAAGATTATACACAATCGAAAAGTCTTCAAAAAATGACAAATTATAAAATTTGTAAAAATATATTTTACACCTGCGTTCATCGTACAATCACCAATCATGTTTGCACCAGAAATTCGCAATTTCTTCCAGGTATCTTTCCCTACGTTCTACCTTCGGTAATAACGCTCGCATCCTTCTTTTAAATTACTTAGAGCTAGGGAGAGATTCATTGCTGCCCGAACGTATAACTAAAAGTATAACCCGATCAAGAAATCTTTGCAATTCATGCGGAGATTTTTCGACCGTCCCGAAGATCGTCGATTCGATAATCTGGGGCCCCGCGTGAGGGATCTGCCTCCCTCACCTTTGCTCGAGCGAGTCAGTCCGATTGGACTTGTAACCGCTATCGTTGAGACTGCCCTCGTGTCTCAGGGACGGCAGAGACTCCCAGGGCGATTCTCTCTTGTGTCCCGAGTATCCTGGATTTATCGAACTCGAGGCGCCGGAGCCGAAGGTCGAGCTGCCGGACTGCCATCCGTCGGAATGCCGGAACCACTGTGCGCGCGCGGACTCCCCGATGCAGCTGGCGCATCTGCAAGCATCGCGCATCATGTAGATCAATTTGTACGCGGATACATCGCGTTGATTATCGCATTTCGCGGGAAAACCCTTGTATTTAGAAGCTCCGCTTCGGCACAAATAAGACACAGATTTTCGCAGTAACGTTCATATAATACAAGTATTCGACAAATCGACGTACGAAAGCAATTGTGAAACAATTGCAAGGAGTTATTTGCAAGTTGACTCGTACAATCAAGACGTTGTCGGTAGAACAAAACGTTAACAAAGTACGCTATTTCTTACAGTACTGGGCGTTTCTTATGTGTTAACAACATTAGAGACTCCGGATTCGAATGATAGCGCGTTCAATTAACAGTATTATATACAATTCCGCCGTCGTGCCGCCCGCCTAAGATCAGTCGCGAGCCTCGAAACGGATCCCGTGCGTGCGACGATCTTTCGATACCTTCGAAGAGCGTCAAAGTTATCGAGAGAAACGCACTCGGGGCAGGAACGCAAACGCCACTCTTGCGTCGTTGCATAAAACGATATCCAAGTACAAGGGATTAAACGGGGACGGTGCGCAGTACCGTGCGGGTACGGGTGAGAGATCCGGACCGAGCGCGCCGGCCTTCGCGCCGTCCTCCTCGCAGAGCAGCTGAAACTTGACGTGCTTCTTGCCCTGCGACGGCTCGCCGTTCTCCAGGATCCGGTAGAACACCTTCTCCGGCAGCTTCGGCACCTTCTTCGGTTCCCGTCGCCTCTCGAGCGACCGGTACTTACGCTGCAGAGTGAAATTCATCGTCGCGGCTCGATTCCCTCCGTCGAGCGAGACTCGCCCTTCCTTCTCGGATTGTTCTACTCGCGCCGGACTCGAATCACGGCGGCGACGTCGATCGACAATTGACTCGACGTTTGCGCTCGGTAACGATGGGGGGCGATTAACGCCGGTGCGTCGAAACGCTCCGCGCTGTTTGCGCTCGCGGCGGCAGCGGAATAATTATTTTCCCCCCTCGTTTCTGCTTTTCCGCTCGCCGGCACGACGAGATAATTATCCCCGGTGTTTGCGCGCCGGTGACCAAGTAATTATTTATCTTCGCTCGCTCTCGGCGGAGCGATTATCCTCGTCGATTCCGTTTGCGGATCATCTGCAATAGATATCCCTTCCTTGCGCTCGCTCTATCTATAATTAAATAAAAATCGTATCCCTGTGTCGAATTCCTCGTTTAAATTCTCAGCGAGGTAAATGCTATTATATCCAAGGATGCGTCTAGGCGATTCAATTTCCGTGCGACGTCACGGTTGACTTCCCTCCGACACTCGGCACTTTCGTTTATCACCGGGCGATCGGCAACTCGTCAGCGACGTCTCTTCGCACACCGCATATTTACCGCAGGTCCACCGTGAACAACTGCACTCGGCACATCACAACACGCGAACCCTCGGACACCGAGTCATCATCTCGCAGCAGCCTCGCGATAACACGCGCCGGAAGTCACGCCGCCAGGACGATCGCGCGCGAGCGAATTCGCGCTCGCGCGCGCGCGCGCAGTTTCCCTCTTTCGAAAGCCGGGGGCCTCGCGACCACGGAGCACCCTTCGTCTTCGCTCTCGCCGTCCAGCTGAAGCCCACTCGCGGGCTTTCTATATTTATCGCGGCGCGGCTCGACGCTGTCAGCCGCCGTCGCTGACCCGTGATGCACAACGCGCCGGCGGCGGCCGGCGGGGATGACGATGCATGCATGCGCCGATATTGTCCGAGCGCTCTATCGAGAGGCGCGTACAAAGCCTTCGGTAGACCTCGATAGACGCCACGCGACGCGTCCGTGGCGTCGACGCGCGCGTCGCCCATCGATACCCTCTTGGCGCACGTGACATTCTTTTTTTTCTCACCCTCGCGCCGCCCGTGGGGGGCTATCGATAGGCGATACCACACATCCGGTGATATTATCCAGGTCGCCCTTAATGGACCGAGCGCACGTCTCATTGACCACCACCCGGTTGGCCGCAGGGCGCAGCTCTTTAAATGTCAAAGTCTCGCAACGGCGGCTCTTTCGCGCCTTTTTTTTGCGCAACCCTTTGGCAACCACGAAGGGTCGACGGCTATTATCAGGCCCTACCGCTCGTGCGCGCGTCAATTGACGTTGTACTACTTGCATGAGGGATATTTCAGTGGGGAGGGTGAGGAGTGTTAATGGAGTCGATTAATCCCGAGCGTACGAAATTCCCCAAAAATATGTCAATCCCACGTGAATAATTGGAAAATAGTCGCGGACGCTTTTTACGTTGTAAATTATAAAATCGTACCCGATGCGAGGTCTTTGTCAGACTCGCGCTTACTGTCGAAAGTACTTTCGTCGAATAATCAAACGAGGAGAATAAGACTGCATATTTCGCGCCGAGTTTAACGTATGTTTCTTCGTTGACGCGTAAGCGAATTATACATCACAGATTAAATGTAATTCTTTTTTCACGCAGACTTCTAAACTTGAGAAGTCTTATTCTCCCGTCCGACTATACGTCGCGTAGAGCCGCGCGATTCACATTAATCTTTGTATCATCCAATTGGGATTCAGTCTCGCTCGGATGATTGAAAGCGCGATACGTCAAGCGGATGCGTGAAAAACCCTTTACGGTGCGAATGCTGATCTCAAGCGGGGGTCGGAGCAGTGGTTTACCTAGAGTTGTAGTCGCTGAGATAGCCGCGATCCCGATCGGGGTCTCGCTCTCTCTTCTCTCTCACCATCTCGTTGCGATCGCTGTAATAGCCGTCGCGGTCCTTGCTGTTCTGCCTCTCGTTGCAGTAGCGATAAGACAGCGGCAGGGTCGACGACTTGTTGGAGCTGGAGCCTGCAACCACGAGAATCGGTTATGAACGGAGGACGCGAGTGCATTTTCCAAGTCATTGCGTTTTCTCGAGCCTCAGCGTATGCTCAACTTACGTCTTCGTGAAGCGTGGGGCGTGCGCTGAACGTTCAACGGTATGTTCTCCGCAAATTCTGGAAAATAGAGAAACTCTTCTGTTAGTTATACGTGATACAATAAGCCTTTACAACATACAATATATCAATCGTTTCAATGGCTGTACCACATTGATAAGAATTGCAAGGGTTACAGTTGTTACAAGTTTAATTCGTTCGCTTGAAAAGAACGCGGGTCGATATGCAAAGAGACTACGTCTTTTTTTACGCGAGAGCTAATTATCTTGCTGAAATTTAATTTCTAAAACACGGTGTTATTACAGAGATATTAAAAAGAAATCTCGCCAAATCTTTTATCGCGAACTTTTTATCCATTAAATCTCTTACGGTGCGACGCAAATAATTTCACGACGCGATGCACTCGAAACGAACACTCGAGAACTATCTAAAACATAAATTGTTATGAGAGAGAGAGAACTACATTTTTATAATCGATAGAAAAATCTTCTCTTCTCACTGTGAGTATTAATGAAGTTTCCGTTATGAATATTAATTGAGCGATAGAAAAATTATTTAACAGTTGGCCCCTTTTCCCCGTCGAGGATCGAAGCGAGGTCTCACCCAAGTTCTCCATGCTCTGCGTGAGCAGGGCTTCAAACGTGCGCAGGCTGTAGCTCTCCGCGTCCATGCCCTTGGCGAGGGTGTTCCTGAGATGCATCTCGTACTCGAGGAGCAGCCGGCTGGTCGGGCTGCCCGGCGTCGACACCGACTGCATGCTCTGCTGATATGTCTGGCCGCCGTTGCAGCGGCGTGAGTTGCAGTGGTTCGGCTGCTCCATGTCGGAGTTGCCGTTCGACGAGCTCGGCGTGGTGGCATAGCACTGGTTATCGAAGATGATATTGTCCGAGGGCGGCGACATGTCACCTGTGCACCGATTACGTTCCGAATCTAAGTACGTCCTGCCTCTGCCGCCTGCGGGCAAAGAGGTGCAACCGAGAGTGCAGGATGTACGACGAACGTGATGAGACGTGCGGCGCGTACGCTGATCAATGGAGGGTGGGTGAGAACGTGTCAAGTTAGTTGGCGAACGGCGAACGCGTAATCTGGGAAGCGGTCCGTCAGAGAATGAGCCATGAGGCTGACCGTAGGGCCGACAGGACAACCACGTTGTCCCCTAGTGCGCATGTTATGCAAGACGGTCAAGAGCAACGAAATGTTAGGGGGTGTCGCCAGAGGTGGTGGGTGACCCCGTGACTTTCAACAGGGCTGCATTCCATGCGCATGTTAAGTTATGCCGAGGGTGTAACTAAAGGTTAGAGGGACAGGCGGACGTCAGCGGATCAGTCGCCGGTTAGTCGTTAGGGACACCTCCTACAGCGTTATGCGTTCGCCGGTGTCGCGGGGGTCAGACAAGGGGTGAGACCACGTGCGAGATCGATCACGTAATTGTCGGCGTGAACTTTGTCACCTTTTTACTTTTTGCCACCTTAAATCACATGCCCGATTAAATCCTGTCATTTCACGACGAATAAAAATTGTGGTATAATCTTTCGAAAAATTGCGTGGGAAGTTTCTTATTTTTAGAAAGGAATTTACGTGATCGATCTTTCAACTGCTCTTGAACGTTTCCATCGTTGAGAACTTTATCCGAATTGCAATCATTTTATAATTGTTTCGTGAATTTAAGAAAAATGTCATACATTATCTCAACAATGATAGCGTTGCCTTGCTTAAATTTAAAAATGGCATATTTTTAACAACAGATTACGGTATATAAAAATTAACAAGGTGCTTGAACATTCGATTCATGAAATTCAAATAATTAAATCTCGTTATATTGTAGATTATCGATAGACATTTATCAATTGTGCAGCAACGTGCAGCAAAGATTTGGAACGCCAGGGCGACATTGAACCGATTAAAAATTGCCTAAAAAAAATCGTGAGTTAAAAGGAATTAAACAATAAGAATCAGTGGTAAATCAGCGATATCGGCGGGAAATCGTACCGGAGTATTGCCGACTCATATCGTGGGCGCTCCTGGAACCCTGGAACTTGTTGTTATAAGGCGCGCGATACGGATGCGCATAATTCTCGTTGTCGACCTCATGCATCATGTACTTCTGATTGTTATTGCTCGGATGGTAGTGATAGCTGTGGTGGTTGTGACGTTTTCTCGTCATCTCCGGCGACGTCACCGGGCTGTCGATGCTCGGCATCGGCTTCAGCATGCGCTTCAGGGTGTTCGAGTCTAAGCTGATGCCGCCGTTCTGGGCGTTCTCGATCCGCATGTCGTCGGTGCTCTTGCTCTTCGACCTGTGGCCGCCGTGATTATTGTTAACGATGTTGAAGAGGTTGCCGTTGTGCATCTCTAGCTCGGTGTAGTCGGCCGATCTGGTGTGGTGGAGCTGTTCCTTGCGCAGCGACTTGATCTGCAGGGTGCCGCCGGCCTGAGTGCCCTCCGACTTGAGCAGCTCGATGCCGTTCTGCTGCGTGGACGTGTCCTGGCTCTGCTTCGGCTTCTTCGGCGATATCGCAGAGCCTTTCTCGTCGGGACTGTCGATCTGTGGAATAAACGAATTATTGATGAGTCCAAAGCAGTATTTTCTAATTTTGATAACATGACCTGTAGTTGAAGCTTTCGTGAAATCATGCTTAATCTTTTATAAAATATATTACAGGAAAGAAATATAAGACATTAAGAAAAGTCTCTCTTTCTCTCCAACTATAATAGAAATTAATGTTTCACTCAAAATGTCACCAAAGGTAGAACACTTCGCTATTAAAAAGATAATAACAAATAAAAATAGTTTTTCTAATAAAAGCCACACCTTATTTAGTTTAGTACTTTAACTTAATATTATTAAATTAAGATGTTAAATTAATAAATGGAATAAATGATTAAGATAATAAATTTATTATAGGGAGACGACAGTTGATTCTCTCTTACGAATTTCGAATTTGCACGATAATTTGGAGCGTAATGAGGGGGACGCGTATTGCTGAGTCTGAAACCTATTACGCAATGCCAGGCAACAGGCAATAGGAATAGGGAATAGAATTTTTGACTCATTGGATTCGTCGGAAATTTTCTTCCAACCAATCAAACGCGTCAGAAGTTCTGTTCCCTGTTTCTGTTGCCTGTTGCCTGGGATTGTGTGATAGGCTTCGGACTCATTGTGCTTGAGCTTTGACGCTTGCCTGTGATCCTACTGTGACCGTTCCGATTCCAACGTTGGCAGTCTTCGGGATTATCTGACACGTCTCGATCTGCTTCTCCTTCTGCTTGGCCAAGTCGCCGGCCTTTGGTGTTTTCCCAGGTGTTGAGCTAGTATTGTTAACGTTGTCGTAGAGGGATGCGCTGGATGTGGCCGCTGTTATCTTGTCTCGTCCCGGCATGTCCATTTCCGTGGATCGCCCCATGGTCCGTGGAAGTGTAGACGGCCCTAAAAATATACGAATAAATTTAGCGCAAGTTAATGAAATTATGCCAAATTTGTGCTGCAATAAGTATTTACTCGACAGAACGAAATTTTGGTGAAATATGATGTTCCGCTTGTACATTAAAATCTGTATTAAAAAATATCGAGCTTGTAATAAAGAGTAATGAAAAGAGACGCGTGCTTTAATTACTTTATTCTAAATTGCACAGAAATAAATACGAAAAAATGTAGTATATACATATAAAAAAATATCTTTGAAATCGCACACACGTACCGCATGGACTTCGATATCTGGTGTCTTGGCTGCGCAGTCTGGCGAACTGTTCCGGCGTCATGCAGGTGCACTGAGGCTCTTTGGATCGGCTCGGCGAGGCCGGCGTCGACAGCGGCTTTCGGCGCGTTTTGATCTTCTGCTTGTTCGGTGGCTCGAGCTTCAACGAGTAAGAAGAGGACGCTTTCCTTGAAATCTTGAACGACGGTGACTGTATGGAAAATTAACTAGTGACTGCAAATGACCTAAGAAATCGAATTGGACTTGTAACGGACTTGTTGTGTGTCGCCCCTAAATCGTCTCCGCACAACTTCCTCGTGCGCGACCCGGAAGGAGAAAGGAAATAGGCGGAGAGATGCGTTGAGAGAGTGATAGCGAACAGGGTTGTGGCACTGATGTATAATGTAACAAAATGCGTGTCTCAGGTGTAGTATCACTAAACTTACGCAGCATTCTCTGAATTGCTTCGCGTCTATGGGAGACGTGAAGTTCAGCCCCCACGTGTCATTTGTCACGGTGTCCTTCCAGTAAACGAAGCATTCCGACGCTTGGCCGATGCGCGTACCTTAAACACAATTACGTACTATTAATCGCAGCGGGATTACTCGCATTAAACTCCGTAATCGCGCCCCGTCCCTTCGTCGTCGCGACACTATCCTGAAAGCAAGATCAGCCTGCGAAGGCGGCTACATCTCTCTTTCTCTTTTCTTTATACAAATACGTTGTTGTTCTTCCTTCTATAAAGAGTCGAGGTTTAATTAGAGTGTCTTAAAATACGTGTCGTAATTATGGCTCACCTGGCTGGACCAACCGCACGTCTAGGATCTTATCGACCTGGCTGTTGTACGCGGTGATATGGAAGACGCATTCCGGCGAGTCCTGGATGCAAGTGATGTTCACCGGGACCAGGTCTTCGGACACCTGCTGCCACTTGACGGTCCCACCCCCGCTCGAGTTTACATGGAACACTTCGGCCCACAGCCTAAAAACTCTCGTCATTACATCGTGTATTGCGCCAACAAAGGAGTTTTCGAACATCGATACACCGTTAAGGAAAGTTTCTAAGTAGAGAAAGTAGAGCAGGCGTGACTACAAAATGAAAGAAAAAAAAGAAACGAGAGACTTATAATCCAGACTATATTCGATTTTCATTATATCTTGGTCGATAATCGCTGCCACGCTGAAACTGCATAAAAATATTTCCGTATGACGTCGGTCGGCTTTATTTTGAAACGGATAAAACAGAAATCGTCGCATGCGTCGGTGGGAAATCGCAAGTGCCGTGTATATACCTATACGTTACGTGCATGCAACATCTGCGTTTACCGTGTAAACGCCGAGCCTTTTCTGCATTAAAATTACACGATCGGTGGATATTTATTTTTAATTCCGAATAACCGATGAAACGATACGTCACTGAATTTTGTACGCCGACCAGTGGACGAGAAAGTAATGATACTAAAAATACTAATAGTCATGCGAAGCGCACGTGTACGGGTGAGGTGTAAAGTAGACAGTATATATACGTGAAAGTGTGCAATTGAAAAGTATATAAAAATGCGAGGACGATAACGTGGCCAGGGAAAAAGGTGTTCCGAGCATAATTTTTTTTTTCCATTTCGCTTAACTCAAATGAAATCCAGGCTAGTAGCGCGAAGCAAAAATAGAAGAAGAACGGTTACTTCTGTTATCCAAACGTAAAGCGCGATTGTCTTAATGCGTATTATTTCTCAAGCCCGCGTCCGGGAGAATAAAGGGGGATACAATCGAGATCGCAATGTTGCTCGAAGTTAACCAAGCGTATCGCGATCCGAATAAGAAAAACGAGCCATCGGCCGTGACGAATGGGCCATCAGCTTCAACAACCGGACAAAAAGTAGCGAAGAAAGAAAGGCGGAGGGCCGAGGACGTAAGCGCGGACAAATAAGACAGCAAGAGGGGAGGACGGTGAGAAAAATAAAATTAGAAAAAGGGAATGAATAAGGAAGATGCGAGACAGTCTGGGTGACGTGAATAAAATGCGACGTCTGATCCGACGTTCGGCTGCAGAGGTATATAGCGTCTCACCAGATGCTACGAAATAATATATTAAGTCCGGCTCTTCGGGAACTGCGTTTTTTAAATAAATGCTTGAGAGCATCGGCTAAAATAAGACCAACAAGAGGCACCGCGATACAATACGCTTAGCTACGTTCGGGTCCAAAATCAAGATCAGGCTCCCGTGAGATTGTCCGTTGAGCAAAATTATTTTTTCTTAATGTTACGTACAATAGGTTTCTAACGTCATTAATATCAATCGTAGATACCTCACAACTTTCGTGACTCTTTAATTATTCTAATTATTGCCATTAGACAAAACCATACATTTATAGCGCTATCTTCTTTAATAATTTACTTGACAAATCATTGTTCAAGAATGATTCGAAACACTTTGTTCTCGTCGCCCAGCACGTCTATTATTCTCATGCCGCTTAAGAATATCAACAACAGAGCAAAGAAGACAGGAGAGAAAGAAAGAAGGAGGAAAAAAAGAAGGAAAAAGAAAGAGAGAGAGAGAGAGAAAGAGAGAGTCAGTATAATGCATACAGTCAAGGGGTGTATGGTAGTCATCGAAGAGAAAGAGTGGTAACATGGTCGAATGGAGAGTGATTGAATGGTTGAATGGTATGGTATGCGCACCTCTTCCTCTCTCTTAAGCTTCCGCACCTGAGCAAGTGGCCAGTGTCACCCCTGCGTCCTCCGCCGCCCATCGCGCCCTTGGCACCGGCCTGCCATGGGCTGTCCTCGTACCGATACGTCTTTGATCTGATTAGGGGTGCGCAACTGCAGGAGAGCTTGTTGCCCATTCTAACTGCTCTTATTCCGGCTTAGATCCCGCCACCTGCCTGCCCCGCCACCACCACCACCACCACCACCGCTCTGCCTGCGTCACCACCCTGTACTCGTGATGCCCGTTCGTGTTTCCGGCTCGACACGCCTTAGCACGTATCCGCCCGTCCTGCTGTCCTCCCCGTTCCTCAGGATATCCGACCTGATCCTTCTCGCCGCGTCTACTATATATTTTTCCCTTTCTCCGTTTCACCCCCTTCGGTTCCTCTTTGACACACTTTCGCGGGGCTGGCTCGTACGGTTTGTCTCTGTCGACTTTTGGCACCGATTTCCACGACGCCGACCACGGCCGGCGGTCTGATGTCGCTTTTTTTCTTGCGCGTTTTGATCCTCGAATCGCGCGTGTGTACGTGTGTGTTGTTGGGAAGCACTGTGGGTAATAGAGACGATCCCAGAGTTATCAGAGAGTGGAAGGAGGTATCTTTATTGTCACATCATTGCAGACGTCGATAGTCATCAGCTCGTCCCTCGCATAATCGCTGCGAACAGACATGAATTGATTAGTCGTGAGAAAAGTACGCCCCAGTAATTCGCAAGTCGTCCACCTTTGCGCGCAGCAAAAGTTTTTGTGAATTACACCTTTGGGAAAGATTTTATTTCTGCAACGCTCGCAATTGTACAGCATTTAATTTAATTTAATTTTAAAAAAAACTTATTTGAATGAAATACAAATTATCCAATTTCATATTTTATTGTACGTGTAACATTATATTCATATATCAATAATATATGTATATATTGTTTCTCACATCCTTTATTTTTATTAAAAATAATGATTAACTAAGCTAAAAATTAAATTCCAATATTCACGAATGCACATACCGCTCTTATTCTAATGATTTTTTTACTTGCGATATATCTTATAGTTAATATAATCTATTGCTGCATATTTTATGAAGTAAGATAATATGCAATAAACTAGCTTTACAAATTTACGTATAATCACGTGTATATACATTACGTATTAAAATTTACTAATTTCAAGCAGTAGAGCAACGGACATTATGATCAGACTGGCAGTCGTCTTTCTTCCTTTTACAATTCACTTTTGTCATAAATTATTCACGAAGCTCATTTTCCAATAGTAATATTTGTTATATTTAACATGTAACAAGTAATTAAGCCCGCTATTTATAAGATGATATAAACGCGTCAACTTTGATCGGACACAAATAAAATTATTTATTTACCATTAAAAATATTTGTCAATTAAATTCGCACTCGCAGAAAGTATTGTTTCTGAAAGGAATAAACAGACTAATAAGTTTGAGAATTGCCAGAGAAAGTTATAAACTTTCGCTCGGCTCAATACAATGACAAGTAGACGAGTCTGAAGAATAAGGCTGACCACACAGCTGTCTTGATCACTTAGAGAGCAGACAGACCCCGGCCAATTCAATTTGCACAAGTTCGCAGGTTCGCCCCCTCAAGTTTATTAACATATTAGCGATATTGAATTTTTCAGCAAACTAATTTATAACACTATGAATATCTATCAGCTTCGGAGGTGCATCGAGGATCAATTAAACTTGGGTAAACTAAACCCATCTCGGGGCGAACTTTCGGAAGGGCGTATAAGCTGCCACTCGCCGCTCGTCTAAAATCTCCCGATGTTAAGTAACCCCAGAAGCGCTCGCCCTCCGTTTTTCCATTTTCCAGCAATTCCATTCACGTTTCTCGCGGCACGCAACCACACGACGTGCTTATCGATTACGAGCTAGCGCGATCTCGTCGACGTCGGAGGGGAGGTCAACAAGCGCGAGGCATTGTGCAGATGTGTCGCGGATAATAAAAGGGGTAGCGCCAGCGGAGGGTTACTGAACCGCTCCCGTCGGCCACGCAATACGTCATTTCTTCCGGGGACGCTCTCGCCCGTGTCGAAGCATCCCGGGCGCTCGTGCAATGCTCGTCTCGCAACATCCATCACAGGAGGATAGAAGTCTGGATTCTCCGGAGTCAGGTTGAACATTCCTATTAGAGATACCAAGCTGGCGGTTGGCAGTCGGCAAGCGGTGGGCAGTTGCTTTCTCACCGTGTGCTCGCTTTACATATATGCGCGCAAAATTGGTGCACGCGAAACAAACGTCCCCGGTCGTTAAAGATACGTCCAGCCACGCACGTCCATCGGTAACCACATTAATCTTCTTCACTCGAGATGTTCAATGCAAAAATAAAAGCCTAATTATTACATCTTTCTAATAACAGTGCGCTAAGAAGCAGCGGACGCTACCAGAGATGACTTGTTGTACGTTGAATAAAAGATGAGGCAGGTGAAGAGTTAATTTCATTAATTGGTCATCCACCTCTACGACCAGGCAGACTCGGTAAACTTCGCACGTTGTTTCCGCGGCAGGGCAGCCGAGCCGAAGGAGGAAAATTATTTTTAGACCGACGGCCGTCGTTACCTAAGCTTTTTACATCATCGGGCCCCCGTCTGGGCAAAAGCGCGGATTCCCGGGCGACGCGTGCATGCCGCTTAATTGGACGAGAGACCCGCGATTAGAGAGGATAAATGTCAAACGGTGCGTGCACCCTATGACCACCACCGGTTGGCCTCAAAGGATTAATTATGGGCGACGGAGACGGCGGAAAATCGCGGCTGTGCCCGCCGTCTGCAAAAATCACATCGTCGTCTTCGTCATCGTAATCGGCACGCACGAGCGGACCGAGAGCGGTGTCTCGAGAGACGCGCAGAGAGGGGTAGAACGAGGGTTTCTGAATCACCAGTGGCTCGCCCGATAAACACGACCGGCGTGGGTGTAGCGTCGAATGAAGACACGTAGGGTAGGAAGCCCTAGTCGATCCTGGGGGGTCCGTCGCTCGTCAGCCGCCCCCGACACGAAAGCCGGGACACGAAAGGTAGACACACAGCCGGCGTGGAACGTGGGTGCGAAGGTAGACAGAGAGCGAGTGAGGATTCTCTAAACACCATATCGATTTTGGCGGTGGTGCGGTTACTCGTCGTCCGTGGCTAAACATGAATGGCGGGTGCACGCCCGTGCTATTCGTTCGCGTGAAACCGGACCTCCATGGTGTTAAGCACTGTCGTGTAATCGGACAGTCCAGGTGAGAGCCGGGGGATTATCCGTTCTTACTCCGCTCGGCCGCGTTTGACCGGCGGACACGCTACTTGCGACGGATAAACTCGTCAATTCTTGATGCACACGTAAAGCAAAATATTAAAACACTATAAATAGAAGAATACCAATTATTAGCATAGATATTTGATAATATAATGAGATGCTGCGATGAAGGAAGAGTATTTACATAGTTAGAAAATTGAATAAAAGCTCGCTTTTCTTTAGAACTCGAGGAATTAAAAATGTAAGGCCAATAGTATTACGAGCGATAAATAATTTCATAGAACGTTAAAAATAAGCTGTAACAAAGTTTACAAATTACAATGTTTTTCCGATCTGACTTATTATGACGGTATGAAAACGCAATTTCTGAAATCTGTTTTTTGTAAAATATTTAGTTATTTTTAAAAATCCGAAGGGTGTAATGGTGTGAAAACATTTCATATTCGATTCTTCGCAAGTTTAAAATTAGCCTTTGCGGCGGACGCACTTTCACCAATCAAACGCGACTCATTAGAACGAGCGTACGCGATTGTTTCGCTATTATTCATTTAGAATTTTGCTAGGCAATTTAATGCGAATGGTACAGAACGAAAATCAGCAGCATTGTTAAAGTCGATCGAACGTTCGTTTCGAGAACAGTGGAGTTATACGTTTGCCTTCCTAAGGGGGAAGAGAAAGATTAATGCTTGGATATCCTTCCGTCGTTATCGATTCAGAGAGCTAATACCTGCACGTGCCCAAACAGCAAGGTCCTTCAGGACCAAAATTTTCTGCCTATGTCGACAACCAAATTGGATCATTACGTGAAACTATCACGCATCGGATGTATCTGTATATTTTCTCTTATTGCAAGAATTTCGTACTTTCATCGTCAATTAAAAGGGAAGAAGTCACATTTACTTCTTAAAAAAAGACGAGAAGAAATTTACAAATTTACAACTGACAATTTTCTCGCGGATTGTCCGGACATAAAAATTACACTGGCTTATATTTTCGTCAATCAATCAAAGATACGAAAGAAAGAATCAGAGGTGTATTCACCGATACTCGTTCCTCTCCCCGTTTCCTGCAGAACGTGTAGGAGATATTCTTAAAACGAACACATTTGTGCCCTGGACGAAGCGCTGCACGGGACTGCGAGGAGGCGATGGCAAATTCATACACTTGCCGCAGGATGCACGAGAAAGAAAATCGAGGCCTAGAGCCAACGCCTTCACGTCACTTGGTGGACTTGGTCAACTCGGGACTTGATTCGCGTTGGCGAACCGATCATCTACTCGGACAACTACAGAGGAGAAGCTCGAAACACACCGCGACACCAAGCGAAGATCGAAAACACCGAGAGATTAGGCATCGCCACTGGTATTTACTACCCGCCCTCGGGAGGCATCCGTGCTTGCGAGACGCTGCTCGTGTCGGGTATCTTCACCGAGTCGAAGGAAACTCGGCTGGGCCGAAGAGGGTCGCGGGTGCTCCGCGTCGTTTCTTCCTGTGGGAGCGCGGACGGGGAAGCGGCGCGAGGTGAGCCAACGCCTTCGTGTCCAGCCTCGTGATCGTTATCGACTCGCAGAGCTGATACCTGGGAGCGTGTTCTCAAGTCAGAGGATCCCTTCCGGAACGAGACGACGACATCGGCAACGAGGGATTGGATCGTGCGTCCAGCGGTATCCGGTTCTGCTCCTCGAGGGTGGAGGCTGCTCGCGGCCGCCGCGGCAACGCCTCTTCTGACACGTCAACGTTAGGTACGAGAAGTAGGTAGATATGTGGAGAGAGAGAGAAAGAGAGAGAGAGAGAGAGAGAGAAAGAGAGAGAGAAAGAGAGAACGGGTGACGGGTAGAGGTGCACGTCGCTCCTTCGTCGCGAAGCGGTCACGG